TGATCGTGTTTTAAGGAAAATTAATGCTAATAGGAACATCTTGAATTTAGAATATATCAATTAACATCATCTCTCAATATCGCATCGAATATACAGGCTGTCCCGTTAAAATCCTTATAAGTAAAGTAGCCAAGAGAAACAGCTGGAAATTATTTATTTAAGTTCGTAATTGATGAACTATAATTTTGACAGCATCATTTAATAGCTTGGATTCATATGTTTACATTTTAATATCTCCTGGTCCATTCAACCGATTTGAATATTTTCGGTGTTGTTTGAAAGAGCATTTTATGCTCTTCTTAAAGATATTTTCAGTAAGGCCGTTTGCTTTAAAACAAATAAGCTAGAGGGCGTTATGTGCAACGATTGCATATTTTTGTGATTTTTGAAGAAAAGTTAAATGGAACTATTTACTTCACAGACTATTAGTCACCTTAAAATTTGGAAATTTTTAGTGAAAACCGCATCTCGATATCGCCAACCGTTCTCGAATTACAAAAGAAAATGTTAAAAACTCGAGTGCCATCATCGTAGCAGTTGGTAACACCGTAACACTTGAAAATAGAAATTTGCATTGACAATTAGAAACTGTTAAAATACAAAATGTATTCACGTGAAAAAATGTTTCATGTACACCTCCTAAAATAAGAGAAATTCCTGAGAGTTCAATGTCCTCATCATTGTGGACCTTGTATTTGATGCTAAGAACGTGTTTAAACATCCATAGACAAAAATTGTCAAATTGACAACTAGAAAAATTAATGACCCAATGTCACCAACTTCAACTGGTTCCATAAAATGTTACTAAAATCTCATTACAGCATCGGATGCTGTAAGGAGTCTTTTTACAGCACCCGTTTGAGTACTTTTTAATAAAGAATACATCATGAAAGAACACCATGAAATTGTCCATTTGTCTATTATATGATAACTAACTTCAGTTTTAAAATGACAACCTCAATTTTGACATATTTGTAATCTGCATTAAAAATCCTTTAAAATGAGTAGAAACACGACATATTTAACTTTAATATTAATGGAAATACAATCACTTCCGGTTTGAAACGTCAACGTTAATTTTGACATATTTGTCATCTTCGTTAAGAAACCTTTAAAATGAGTCCAAACATGACGTACTTATCTCAAAAAACAAAAAAGTTAGAATAAAAAACGTTAAACCCGAAGTTGGCAACAGTGAAGAAGCAATTTAATTTTTAAACATTAATACCAACCTTAATTTTTTATTTTTTTTATTATATTTTTGTTTTTGTGACAAATTTGAACAAATTTTATAAAAATGAAGAATATGTCAAAATGACGTTGACATTCTTAACCGGAAGTTGACCATAACTCCATTAATATTGAAGATAAATATGTCGAGTTTGTACTCATTTTAAAGGATTTTTAATGAAGATTACAAATATGTCAAAATTGAGGTTAACATTTTAAACCTGAAGTTAATTATTTATAAAATGTGTTAAAATTTGTCACAAAAACAAAAATATAATAAAAAAAAATTCAAAAATTAAGGTTGGTATTAATATTTAAAAATTAAATTGCTATCTTCATCGTTACTAACTTCGGGTTTAAAGGTTTTTATTCTAACTTGTTTGTTTTTTGAGATAAATGCGTCATATGGACTCATTTTAAAGGTTTTTTAATGAAGATGACAAATATGTCAAAATTACTAGTTGAAAGTTGGAACTTTTTGGTTTTTTGAGAGAAATTCGTCATGTTTGGACTCACTTTAAACGTTATTTTATGAACATTACGAATATAATAATAAAATTAAAGTTGACATTGACAAGTGAAAGTTTTTTTCATGACTAAACCCGAATGTTTCTAGTTCTCGTTCTAGTTTTAGTGAAAACACACAAATCCAAATGTGTAATAATATGTTCCATTTAAAAAAAAAATACATTTTATGTCATCACACTTTTTTGGACCAGCCCGTATATGCGAAAATATTTTCCAGAAATACACTCATATACAGTCTGTCCCCGGATAGTTGAAACGAATCTTATAAAATGTAAAATTTTTTCTATATTAATTGTCATCTTTTAGAGTTCAGCCCTGCTTGGTTAAAGACTAATTTTGGACATATTTTCAAATTTTAAAAAACAAGGGTGTGTTGACACTGAAGCGAAAACTTCTTGTGCGTCAGGTAAAGTACCTTTTCTATTTATAGTATGGTAAAATGTTCCTAAGAAATTCTATTCAGAATGAAGTTATCAACGGAATCATCGGCCTACTTTGATCCCCCATTGTTTATTATTTTCGTCAATAGTACTTTATTAGGATTTTTTGTTTTGAGATTCAGATTATTCGGGAGAAATAAACAAACCGTTCTTAAAATGTTCACAAAAAATTAAGTGTGTGTTCGCCCACAAAAGAAAACAGTTAATCAGTTTTATCATAATTTTTTTTTCTTAGAGTGAATACTTCCTGCTGTAAGAAATCTTTTGATTAAACGCCAACAAATACTTCTTTTAATTCCAGTATTTGGAAATTTTTCACTAAATAAAGCAATAATCATATTTATCGGTTTTTCCCCGGTTCCATAACACTGAATCACGTAAACTTTTTCCTCTAATATATATATTATTTATCAAAGAAAGACTTTATACTAAATGATATATTTGAAATCGATTAAGATTTCAACATGCTCCTTAAAACTTAATATCTCAGAAAAAGTTCATTCAAAAAAGATCTACTTAAGCACGATTACTCTTCAGGTGTTGTCAAACAGATTGTCATTTGTTGTATCGGAGTATCTTATACAGGCTGGTCAAAATTGAATTATTGTTTCTCCATATTCAATGGCGAGAAAGTCGAAAATTTTAAATGGAACGCCCTCATATTTTTAGCCTATCAGAAAGAGAATTTAATTCTCTACAAATTATCTATATACATTCCCATACCTATTTATTGTAGTTTGCCTTATATTGCGAAATTTATTAAAACATGCACGAAATACAGGTTTTTTTATTAGAAAGCTATGGAATTTTGACAGTTTTTGGTCCATGTTTGTATTATTGTTGCCATTAGTTACATTTGACGACGGGTGTAAGTTATTTAACATCATGGTAAATTATTCCACCGCCGATATTTGAAATTTATTTTGTATTGATGACGAATGTAATAAACTTTCGCACAAGACGTGTCGATCACTTAATGAGAGATGCCTAACAAACCTAACGCCCATCACAAGGAAAAATTTCAAAAAATTGATAAAGAATTTATTAGTTCCGGATATATCGAGACCAAAAGAAATCGCATATTTCCGGTCCCCAGTGATGAAGACAACGAAATAAATAGTTTAATGTATTTTATTGCATTTCTAAATTCAATTTAATAACAAATTTATATTATAAATTTATGTTTTTGTTCAAATCTAATTTTTGTCATTAACTTTTTGTTCTAATAGTTTCATTTATTTGATCTTCTGTTTGTTATTTTTGGTAAGTAAAAGCTAGTAAACTAAAAGATTATCAATCGTAGTTAATAGTACAAATAATAATAGAAATAAATTAAACAAAAAACTGTCAAAATGTCATGGCCTTCTAATAAAAATACAAACGGTTTCCTGCATTTCCTGCATGTTTTGATAAATTTACGAATATGAGAGAAACTACAATAAATAGATATAGGAATGTTTATAGATAAATTGTAGAGAATTAAATTCCCTTTGGTGTAGGCTAATAAAATATGGAGCGTTCCATTTAAAATTTTCGACTTTCTCCCCATTGAATATGGAGAAACGGTAACTCAATTTTTGACCACCCTGTATAAGATACTCTGATACAATATATGACAATCTATTTGAGAGCATCTGAAGAGTAATCGTGCCAATTTAGAGCTTTTTTGAATGAACGTTGGCTGGGATATAAGGTTTTAAAGAGCATGGTGAAATTTACCAAAAAAACCTTAAAATCAAAATAACTCGAAAACGAAAAACGCTAGGTACCAATAACTTTTATGAAAGTCAACATATTTTTTTCCGTACAATTAAAAGGTGTAATAAAAACTATAGCATTCCATTTAAAATAACGAAGTTATGGTCTACTTCCGGTAGACCGGAAGTGGCAGCGATCTTGAAAATATTTTAGATCGAAAGTTCCGAATGAACAATCCATGCTACCAAAATTTCAAATCTCTACGAATAGTGGAACCTGAAAAAGTTCTAACGAACCAGTTACGTGAGATCCTGTATATAAAGTGATAATGGATTACCAATACTCTAATTTTCCTCTAATGTTAACATTGTACCTAAAAAACTGTTTAAGTTTACTAAATTACAGTTTGATAGATTAACAGTGACAGGAAAGCAATTTTGCTTTTCCATGGCAGTCTTTGTTAAAAATAAAATTTTTTTTTGATATGGATTTTTTCAAAGTAGGCCGATCATTCCGAAAATTTGCATATGGCCATAGTTTTCATTTTAAACAAAACTTCTTAGTAACACTTTCACGTAGTGTACACAGAAAAGGTACTTTACCTACCACAAAAAGCGTTTTTCTTTCACTGTCAAGACTCACTTCTTTTTTAAAAATTGAAAATATGTTCAAAATTAGTCTTTAATCAAGCAGGGCGAAATCACAAAAACTGACTATTAATATTTAAAAAAATTTACCTTTTATAAGAGTCGTTTCACCTATTCGGGGAGGACACACTGTATATAGTACAAATCTGCATTTGAAAGAAATTCCTAACTTATTTGGTATAGGAGCTCCTGACGCAGTTTCAGGACCCTGTATGAAAAACTTTTGTTATTTTGGCAAGTACTACGTCCTAATTAATAAAGTTTCTGGATGGAGAACTGAACCACCCTGTATAGATTATGAGGTTTTGTACGCGACTTGAAGGGGAAAGAGAAACCGCAAAATTTCCGGGATTTGTATTAGATAATTCTCTTACCTTTCAAAACCATGTCCAGTAAATCAAATTCAATAATCTACACTATTAAATAGAACAGCAACATATGAAGCGGCTCGCCAAAAACCATAAATCGTTTCGGCCCCCAAATCTCTTTAACTTCTGGACCCGCGCATATCTTGCTGTCATTCTTCGTCTAAGTCACGCTCCTTGCATTATCCTGTTAGGCAGGTGCTTCTGACTCCCTGTAGTAAGCGTATAGTTCTTGGTTATATCTTGTTCTCCATATATTATACAAATATATTGGAGCTCTTTATCTCGAAAACGTCTTTGCTGTTTGGCAATCAACTGTTATAGCCATATGCCATTCCTTCCTTAGGCCCTAAAATCAGATTCAAAATTAAGTAAGAAAGTTTATCAACATATAGCACTTTAAATTAGCATCCTACAACCTTAATGACTTGAAACCTAACATACTTAACAATGATACTGATAAAGAAAACTAACTAGGAGTTTCTTCTTTTAAAATAAACGTTAAAACATGAAAATCTGTCAAGTAAATCCTCTTAAAAGTCAATTATTATATAGAAACTTTTTAAATCGAGTTCATTTTGATGCCATTGTGATACGCGGCCCCTTTAAAAATATATTTAGTATCTTTTGGGCCGACTTTAAAACGTACTACGATTCTTGTAGTCCGATTTAAAACCGAGGTAATTACTTTTCAGAAGTACTCCGGAGAGATAACGAGAAAACGTTGCTGTGCGATTCGTTACTCTAGAATATCGTTATATTCTCTTTTCGCCCCCGCCCCAATTCACCTCACTGATTTAAATTAGAAAATAAATTGCGACCGGGAGTTTTATCTGGCGAACGGTGTGTACGTGGTGGTGAGGGGTCGGTTTACGCTGGCGTATCGAATAATAAAACAAAATAATACATAGAGGATCCCCCGGGACAAATAATAATTAATAAAACAAAACCAACTCCATCCAGGTTTTATTTGCGGAAATTTGTGTACATTCGGCCAATTAATGACTTTATTTAGTAGATGCGTTTATTGTAAACGAACAAACAAAAGGGGTATTTATATTTTAGGTTTGGTTTATTTGACGTTTAAAATTATTACCAACCTTAAAACATAAAAAGGTACTAAAAAATAAAGTCAAAATGATTTGTATGAATTTGAATGGAGTACTAATAGAGATAGATAGAGAGAGAGAGAAAGAGGAAGTTGAAAACATATCGGAAATTCGATGAAATATCGAAATGGGAAGATCCGTTCGTTCGGTTTTGCCTCGAAAACGGGGCCATATAAATTTTCTATCTTCCCGCGCAAAATGGTCCGGCGACAATATTGCCGAAGTCTTTTCGAAATCCAATTTCCTGTAGCGGCTCCAACTGCGACGTATTGAAAGAATTCAGCGACGAGTGAATTTCGGCGTAACAAAGAATTTCCTTTTTACCCATTTTGAGGCCATTTCAATGTCAATAATCGACGGTTTAACTGAGTTTAACGACCAATTTTTATCTAAAAATTGATAACATAACCTAATTTAAACTTCCAAGGAAACCTAGAGGATGTTTTAATGCAATAACCAAGCGCACACATGGTGTGGGATGCGAAGTAGCTACTTAAAGGGATACCCTTTGGAGGTTAGAGGGTGTTGGATGAAGTGGCAAATGCAAATATATGCAGAACTTGTTATGAGTGTGTCTTAGATTTTACCCAAGAGACTTCCATCTTGTGGTTTATCTCGGAAATATATACATTAAAGCTAAATTATCTTACGGGCGGGTTTAAATGGAAGTTTATATCAAATTGAGTTATAAAATTTGTTTCATACTTTCCTGGTAAAGTTTTAATCCAAATTATAATTTTTTTTTTGTTTCAGAAACAACCCCAATTAGATAGTACATTATTGATTAAAACGGGACCCAATCTACTTAACCTAACTCAACATAAACTTGAAAAGATGTTAGGATCGACATCTTCACCAACAACGGCTCCAGCTTACCCGGGATTTCCGCGATCCCCTTATATCCGTCGAATTTCGCCCCCGGGTAGTCCAGCACCAACAAAATCTTGTTGTTACGAACTCCATCGAGGCGGCGAAGTAACCTCCCCCTATCCGCATCACCAACAACAACAGCAACAACCATCGCCGCTTCCATCCCCAAACGCATCGGAAACTTTCTTGTGTTGCTGTTACACGATTCCCAGCGCGAGATCTTCAACATCAATTTTGGCAACTTTGGGAGTTTGTTTCTTGGTTTTGGCTTACACCGTTTTGGGCGCGTTCACTTTTATGGCACTCGAAGGTGGGGTAACTCCTCCTGGAACGACGACGCAAAAAATTAATAACAATTTAATGATGGGGAAAAACGGGGGATTAAAAGAAATTGAAGGATTCGTTGGATTCGGGATTGCGAATGAGTTGAGAAGTCAAACGGTCGATCGATTATGGAGCATTACGGAGAATTTGAATATACTGTATAGGGAGAATTGGACCAAGTTGGCAGCCGAAGAGGTCTTGGAGTTTCAAGAGGCGCTGTTTAAGGTTTTAAAAAATACCAAGGTTTTTATAACCGAGGATGGAGATTTTTATAATAACCGAAGGGCGAATCATAAATGGACTTTTACCTCATCGTTTTTGTATTCGCTGACGTTAATAACAACGATAGGTAAGTTATTTAATAATAAAAAATCCATAAAAAGGGCTTTTAAGGGCGGCTCTCGCGAGGTTAGATTCGATTTCAGGGGTACTCTAAAATCCAAGGATGGGGCGAAAAGACGCTTCATGCTTTACGTTCGAGTTTAGGGTACGAATTTTTGTTTTTCCGGACAATTACCGTTGGTCGCGGTTGTTTCCGGGCGGCACTTTCAAAGACGCGAAGAACGGGGGAGAATTTGCGCGACGTTCCGATGAAAAACTTCAAAAGGATGCGAGCAAACAAAGCACTTCAAAGCGAAAAGATTTCCGTCGCGCTACGTTTTATACGGAAAATGTATTGTCTTTTTTTGAAAGTGTTTCCGGTTATTATTATTATTATTTATTATTTTTTTTTATTTTGGGGTACTTTGAAAAGATACGATGTAAACAAAGATGAAACAAAAATATTGTTTTAATAAGATTTTTTTGGATACAAAATTATCGTCTTCTTGTACCGGGTCAAATAAGACAGGATTTTGAATTTTTTCGTGAACATCTTCAGGTTTTTCACCAAAATTAGATACACCGCATATCTTATGATGTCAAGTCATGTGTATCATTGTCTAGTCGATGTTCAACATGAATGAATGACCACTTCTTGCGACATCTCTAGAGACACCCCTTAATTTCGTCTCAGATATTCCTCAATATTATCACATTCATTATTACTTTAATCGACCCTGGAATACTTTAATATCAACCCTGGCACATTTCAACATCTCTCAATACCATTCCTCAACACTTTAATCGTCCCTGGAATACTTTAATATCAACCCTGGCACACTTTAACATCCCTCAATACCATGCTTCAACACTTTAATCGTTCCTGGAATGCTTTAATAACCACCCTAGAACACTTCAACATCTCTCAATACCATTCCTCAACACTTTAATCGTCCCTGGAATACTTTAATATCAACCCTGGCACACTTCAACAATTTAATCGTCCATGGAATACTTTAATATCAACCATGGCACGCTTTAACATCCCTCAATACCATTCCTCAACACTTTAATCGTCCCTGAAATACTTTAATATCAACCCTGGCACACTTCAACACTTTAATCGTCCCTGGAATACTTTAGTATCAACCCTGGTACACTTCAACACTTTAATCGTTCCTGGAATACTTTAATATCAACCCTGACACACTTCAACACTTTAATCGTCCCGGAATGCTTTAATATCAACCCTGGCACACTTCAACATCCCTCAATACCATGCTTCAACATTTTAATCGTCCATGGAATACTTTAATATCAACCATGACACGCTTTAACATTCCATAATACCATTCCTCAACACTTTAATCGTCCCTGAAATACTTTAATATCAATCCTGGCACACTTTAACATCCGTCAATACCATGCTTTAACACTTTAATCGTTCCTGGAATGCTTTAATATCAACCCTGGACCACTTCAACATCTTTCAATACCATTCCTCAACACTTTAATCGTCCCTGGAATACTTCAATATCAACCCTGGCACACTTCAACATTTTAATCGTCCATGGAATACTTTAATATCAACCATGACACGCTTTAACATCTCTGAATACCATTCCTCAACACTTTAATCGTCCCTGAAATACTTTAATATCAACCCTGGCACACTTCAACACTTTAATCGTCCCTGAAATACTTTAGTATCAACCTTGGCACACTTCAACATCCCTCAGTAGCATTCGTCAACACTTTAATCGTTCCTGGAATACTTTAATATCAACCCTGGCACGCTTCAACATTTTAATCGCCCCTGGAATACTTTAATATCAACCCTGGTACACATCAACATCCCTCAACACTTTAATCGTCCCTGGAATACTTTAATATCAACCCTGGCATACTTCAACATCCCTCAATACCATTCCTTAACACTTTAATGGTCCCTGGAATACTTTAATATCAACCCTGGCACACTTCAACATCCCTCAATACCATGCTTCAACACTTTAATCGACCCTGGAATACTTTAATATCAACCCTGGCATACTTTAACATCCCTCAATACCATGCTTCAACACTTTAATCGTCCCTGGAATACTTTAATATCAACCCTGGCATACTTCAACATCCCTCAATACCATTCGTCAATACTTTAATCGTCTCTGGAACACTTTAATATCAACCATGGCACACTTCAACATCCCTCAACACTTTAATCGTCCCTGGAATACTTTAATATCAACCTTGGCACACTTCAACATCCCCCAATACCATTCCTCAAGACTTTAATCGATCCTGGAATACTTTAATATCAACCCTGGCACACTTCAACATCCCTCAGTGCCATTCCTCAGCATCGTCCATAACATACTTCAATACCATACTTGGTATTTCTCAATTCCGTCTTGGACATTCCTCAATGTCAGCCCTGGTACATCTAAACATCATTCCACACTTTCATCAACATCGTTCCAAATATTCCTCAATATCGCCCTTGGCACGCTTCAATATCAACTTTGGTACACTTAAACCTAAACTCTGATATAACTCAACATCGTCCCTGATATGCCTCAATATCATCATTAACATTCCTCTGGTACATTTCAACATCCCTCAGTACCATTCTTTAGCATTGTCCATAACATACTTCAATACTACACCTAACGTTCCTCAATTCCATCTTGGATATTCCTTATTGTTGTTCCTCATGGTATATCTAAATGTCTTTCCACACGTTCATCTTGACGCAGCTCAACTTCTTTTTTAAAATACCACCTAAATACCTTCCCTGGCACGCTTCAATATCAACCCTTGCGCACCTTAACTTCATCTCTGATATAACTCAATATTATCACAGACATTCCAAGATATCATCACTCAACATTGTCCATGACACTCTCAATATCATTACTAGCACTGTTCAACACCATGTATTTGTTTAATATATGTGGAAGAAAATTTAATTTTGTTAAGTCTAATATTTATTTACCTCCCCACCTGTTTGACACTGATAGTATCAACTTCTTTTTTTCTAAATCTGTTGCTGATGTTGTTATTAAGCTTGGCTCTGATTTATTGAATTTTTATCGTACCAAACAATTAAATCCTGACGGTACTCCTTTTAACAAAGTGTTCGTGGATTCTATTAAGCAGTATCTGCTCTTCTTTAAGTCTACTAGTGTTGATTCGGATGATAAATCATCAAAAATTTTAATGACGCGATAAAAGTTAGGTTATGGTTTCGTTTCTTCTTTAATTTAGGGTGGAAAATCACTTCTTGGAGTATCTAATCACTTTAACTAAGTAGTTTAGAAGTTCAAAAATGTATTGTGACGGTTCAATTTTACTTATTTTTTGGTTAAATTTGATTTTAGCAAGAAATACAATCGGTAAGTTTTAAACGTCAAAACTTTGACTTAATATGGATGGTTGCCGCTAGATGGAGTGAGCAACTACTTAAAAGAGAAGGAATTTTAAGATTTAAAAAATCAAAAACGTAAATTTTTGAAATCTTCACCTAAATAAAGATACATTTTCCCTTTTCATATTAAAAAAAAATTCATTTATTAATTCCAAGTTTAAAAAAATAATTATAAAATACAAGTCACATTCTAAGCGCCCTCTAACTTTGATTCTAAAAATAACTCGTTGATTAGAATGTGACCTTCCGATTTAAATTTTTTATTTAAAAAAAAAAACCAATGAATTATGGAAATAAACGATTAAAAGTTAATAAAATTAATCAACTTACGATGTATTTGTTGTAATAAATCACCCTGATTTTCTTAAATCATCAAAAATTACAATGACGCGATAAAAGTTAGGTTATGTTTTCGTTTCTTCTTTAATTTAGGGTGAAAAATCACTTCTTGGAGTATCTAATCACTTTGAATAAGTAGTTTGGCAGTTCAAAAATGTATCGCGATAATAATTTTGATTCAATTAAACTTATTTTTTGGTAAAATTTGATTATTTTAACAATAAACGCAATCGGTGAGTTTTAAATGTCAAACTGATTTAATATCGGTTGTCACCGCTAGATGGGGTGAGCAACTTTAATAAGGAAGATTTCTTTAATTATTTTTATAAAATAATTTAGTATAAATAAAAGATAAAATTATCTGTTTAAGTTAAGTGTGTTTAAGATTTACGATACAAATAAACCGAAAATGTCAATTATTTTAACTTTGACATTATTCCGGACATCTTTCTATGTATTATCTTCATTGAAACACGTCAAGATCATCTCAGACATCTTTATCATCGTCCTAAACATTAACTAATTGTCCTTGCATACCTTAACACCATCCTTGACATCCTCTTATGTGGTCTATTATCATCTTCTGGAACAACTCCCAACATCGCTAAGAATATCGCTAATGTTGTCCACTGTTATCTCTCAAGATCATTCCAAGACATGCCAAGATATGTCATTCCAGCTTATAGTCTCTGACATATTCTTGGAAAAAGGGATAAAGATGTTAATGTGGTTAATGTTAATAACGTCGTATCTCTTCTCCGAATTCTTCAGAGGAGAATTTAGATAAGAATTGAAACACAAATATTCTGATTTATCAATTGAAACATTTACGAGAAAAATCCGATTGGTTTAAATTTTTAATTCCAACGTTGTTATAATTCCAATCCGGATGTGGATAATTCCATCCTCGGAATTGCATTGCGTGATTACGAACGAGGTGGTTCACGATCAATTACGGATATGAGAGCAAATAGAGGGGAATTTCGCACGCGCGGAGAAGGCATGTTGTGGCAGAACTGGAGAATCCGTTTCCGGATCTCAATTAGAACGGGCGAAATGCGGCCGGGGAGATGCCCGAATCATAACGAAACCGTATTGTTGCGACCCCCTTTGCTCAACTCACCTTCGCCCACGGTTTTGCATAAAAGCACTGAAATTGTTTGGAAATTTCCAAAGTTTTAATTAATATTCGCCGCATCATTAAATAATTTTATAACTACTAATACTTAGTTGAAAGTGATAAAATTTTAAAACAAAAATTATTTAAAATAAGGATAATGAACGGGATATTGATTTCTAATTTTGTAGGGGTAAAATGGGAAGACGAAGTGTGTGGGGATCCGGAACGATTTGGCCGGGAGCCAATTCCGGGGGGGTGGGGATCCTTTTACTTCGGATAACGATAACGAAAGGAGTTGAATTTTGGTCAAATTACGATCTCAAAGAACCACCGCGATGAATAGATTCACATATTCGTCTTCTTGACTTTATTTATTCCACTTTTCAAATAAAAAAGAATTAAAACTATTTTTTTTAAGTGAAGTTTGTATGAAAGTGTTTTTTGAATCGTCGTCTATGTTGAGACGCGCCGCTACAGATGTCGCCTTCGGGCTTCCGGTGGCGTCGTCGTCGCGTGGAACTCGTATGTATGCAAATTCAGAAATAACCCTCTACTATACAAACTCGACCCTTTTTTCTCCGTCTTCTTCTTCTTCGTCTCCTTCCGCAACATCCGTTTTGTTTTTTTTTATCTACATATTTTTTTTAATACACCCCCATCGGAATTTATTTATATTCGATATCGTTCAATATGTTCTTTGTGTTTTGCGTGCGTGGGAAGCCATATTTTATGTTTTATATTAACCGAAAAAAATTTATGTGTATCGAAATATAAATTTTATGATTTATAGCGCAATTTTTGTTGCAGGGTATGGAAGCGTGGCCCCGCGGACTTCTTGGGGCAAACTCGTAACGATCATTTACGCTCTAATTGGAATACCTTTAATGTTACTTTACCTCTCAACGACGGGCGACGTCCTCGCTAGAACTTTTCGAAAATTCTACGGGAAACTCTGCGGGATCACCTCCTCGAATCTGAAACAACCAAACTGTCAATGTTCCGGTGTTAAAGTTCGCGTTCCGGTTACTTTATGTTTGATAATAGTTCTCGCTTATATTTGTTCGGGGGCTTTTTTGTTTCATCGTTTAGAAAATTGGAGCATTCTCGACGGTTCTTATTTTTGTTTCACTTCGTTGGGAACGATCGGGTTTGGGGATCTATTGCCGGGGCAAAACCATCAAAATGCGAAATTAAATTTTAAGCAAAACTTAAATAACTCATCGAGCCACCCAAACAACAATGAAGATAAAATTTCGCTTTTCGCGTGCTCCGCTTATATCTTAACGGGGATGGCCTTGGTCGCGATGTGTTTTAGTTTGGTCCAAGAGGAGATTTTAGGCATTTTAAAATTGATCGGGTCGAGTTGCTCGATATCGACGCCTTCGGAATGCAAATTGAGGAAAATCGAGAACGACGAGATGATTTTAACATGACAACGACCGAAAACGGAAGGGGCCGCCCCCTCTAATAAAGTCAAAACGGTCACCACCCAACCGAATTTATTAAAAGGGGGTAATTTTTTCCAAACGAATAGTTTGCCGAGGAAAAATCACTTTCAAAGGAACGCCCCGACTCGGAGATCAACCGGTAATTAATTAAAACTTTTTTTCCATGTTTAATTTTAATTTTTAGGCGCTGAACCTCTATCAGAATACTTCGTACCCAGATCAATGAGCGAATTCGATCTCTCCTGCACCTCCGAAACGCTCCAATCCACGCAAAACATCCTCCCATTAACAGTGAGAATGCCCAGAAAGCCTCCGCCAAAACCCCGCGTTGAAAAAATGGTCACATTCGAAGATGAGCTCGCTTTAAGGGCGAACACAAAAATCCCCAGCGATCTTCAAGACGTTTTCATGTGACAAAACAGGTAGCAATCGGAGAAAAGTCAAAACCACGCAACATCTGAAAAAGAAAAGAAAATTATTATCATCAGCGATGACGAAAAAGAAATTTACGAAAATAAAGAAATCATAAATAACGAGAAATACGATAAAGATAAACTACAAAAACATATTCAAATGAACGTGACAACCGAAGATGTTGGTGTTGTGTTGAAAAAAGAACTCCGCCGCGAGTTAAAAAACTTTAAATTGTGTGAAGATTTGAAGAAATGTGACGAAAACTGTTCCTGTAACGCAGAGGCGGACTGTGACATTTGCAAAGTGATCGATTTTACGTTAAAAAAAGAAAAATTATAGTGTTTTTAATAAAGACTGTTTCAAAAATATGTACTAAAAAAATGTATGTGCCAAAATAATCTGATGTAAATAAAATTACTTATACACAATAAAAATAAATTTAACCTCAACGAAAAAAAAAAATAAATAAAATAAAAATAACAAAAAAGTTTTTAATTAACTTAACCTAAAAAACTTTTCCTTTCCAATAATCGTTTTTCGAGTATTTAGTGAGGATTTAATAAAATGTGAGGAAATAGAGTAAAAGAAATTCTTTGAGTGTTCAGAAAACTTACCTTAAAGAAAGAAGCGAAGTTTCCTCTCGAGAGATTTTCGGTCGCTACAGATGGTCACGTATGAAACTGAAGGGGGTTTTAGTTCGCTCTCAGGAGATGAACAACTTCAAGAGGAAGGTAAGTTTTAATTAAACCTAGAGAAAATAAAAAAACTTCATTTCAAAACGAATTAAAAAAATGTAATAATTTAAAATTGACGTAAGAAACAACTTTCAATACATAGTTTGGGTCCCCAAAAAAGGGATTTTGATGAGATTAGGTTCAAATAAAGTTTTCTTTGTAAAATTTAAAATTAAAATATTTAATCAGAATTTAAAATATCAAAAATATGATTTGGGACATTTGAAACATTGACCTTGATTCGACAAAACTTTTTCAACAAAATTTGAACAAAACTTACTATGATTTAGTTGTAATAAATCCGTAACTCCTCAAAACTTTTAAATGACGCGATAAAAGTTAGGTTATGTTTTGCTTCTTCATTAATTTAAGAGAAGAAATCACTTCTTGGAGTCTCTAATCACTTTAAATACGTAGTTTGGGAGTTCAAAAATGTATTGTGATGATGATTTTGATTTAATTAAACTTATTTTTTGGTAAAATTTGATAATTTTAGCAATAAATACAACCGGTTAGTTTTAAACGTCAAAACTTGACTTAATATGAATGGTAGCCGCTAGATGGAGTGAGCAACTATTTAAAAGAGAAGAAATTTTAAGATTTAAACAATAAAAAACGTAAATTTTCGAAATCTTTACCTAAATAAAGATTAATTTTCCCTTTTTATATTAAAATAATTTCATTTATTAATTCCAATTTAAAAAAAAATTATAAATTTATAAAAGCCACAATCTAAGCGCCCTCTAACTTTGATTCTAAAAATAACTCGTTGATTAGATTGTGACTTTTCACTTTAAATTTTTTAATTAAAAAAAGCCAATAAATTATGGAATTAAATGATTAAAAGTTAATAAAATTAATCAACTTACGATGTATTTGTTGTAATAAATCACCCTGATTTTCTTAAACCATCAAAAATTTTAATGACGCGATAAAAGTTAGGTTAAGTTTACGTTTCTTCTTTAATTTAGGGAGAAAAATCACTTCTTGGAGTACACAATCACTTTGAATAAGTAGTTTCGGGGCTCAGAAATGTACTGTGATGGTGATTATGGTTAAAATAAACTAATTTTTTGCTAAAATTTGATAATTTTAGCAAGAAACACAACCGGTAAGTTTTAAACGTCAAAACTTGACTTAATTTGAATGGTAACCGCTAGATGGAGTGAGCAACTACTTAAAAAAGAAGGAATTTTAAGATTTAAACAATAAAACACATAAATTTTTTAAATCTTTACCTAAATAAAGATACATTTTCCCTTTTCATGTTAAAAAAATTTCATTTATTAATTCCAAGTTAAAAAAAAAAATTATAAATTTAGAAAAGTCACAATCTAAGCGCCCTCTAACTTTGATTCTAAAAATAACTCGTTGATTAGAATGCGACTTTTTCATTTAAATTTTTTAATTAAAAAAGCCAATGAATTATGGAAATAAACGATTAAAAGTTAATAAAATTAATCAACTTACGATGTTTTTGTTGTAATAAATCACCCTAATTTTCTTAAATTATCAAACATTTTTATGACGCGATTAATTTTAGGTTATGTTTTCGTTTCTTCTTTAATTTAGGGAGAAAAATCACTTCTTGGAGTACACAATCACTTTGAATAAGTAGTTTGGGAGTTCAAAAATGTATCGCGATAATGATTTTGGTTCAATTAAACTTATTTTTTGGTAAAATTTGATTATTTTAACAATAAACCCAATCGGTTAGTTTTAAATGTCGAACTATGATTTAATATGGGTTGTCACCGCTAGATGGGGTGAGTAACTTTAATAAGAAAGATTTCTTTAATTATTTTTATAAAATAAAGTGCCTTCATTTAACTTAATGTAGGTCTTTTATCTATTTAAGTTAAGTGCAACATTGAAATGATTTAAAATACAAATAAACCGAAAATGTCAATTTTTACCTCATTGTCAGATACATTAAGAATATACAGTGACAGACAAAAGTCTAAGTGTATTATTTAATTAATTTTTGTATTATTTGTTGAATTTTTAGTATCTACCTGTTCAGCGGTTCTACATGAAGCTGGCGAACACACCCATTTGTAAAGAGTGTGACTGTCTCAACCTCGCGTACTTGAAGAAATCCATTTTTAGCGTACCGTGGCCCCAAATTGCGGAGATAAAGTTCATTAAAACTATAATCTAAAACAAATTCATCAATAATTCCACCAATAAGAAATACAAACAATTAACTTACTATTGTGAAATTGCGATTTGTTCTCTTTTAACTGTTGATGATGTTGAATGACGTTGAAATGATGCATTGGATTCATGAAAAGGCTGAGTAAAGGTGTTGATGGCATCGCTGATGAGTTCTAAGAGACAGTCTTAACAATATCTTGGATATTAAGAGTTCTTTCTTCTTAATTCTTTACCCTATCATAAAAAAAAAATTAAAAAATACTTTGATATAGCTTTTATATTCAAAATCAATGGTCAAATTCAAATTTATTTGAACCCATAAATTTCAAAAAACCGTACAGAGTTTCGAACACAAATTTCTCTCGTGCCATTGTTGCATAGAGCCGGATTTTGACCATAAACAAACCATTTTGACGCGCGAATCGATACCCGGTTCGCAAAACGTTCGCGCCCGTTCTACCGAAATTTACGACTACGACCACGGTTTGGTACCTCTTCGAATTTACATGCTTTCATCGAACCCAACGAGCTCCGGCCCCCAAAACACGCCGTCCATAAAACATCTCTAGCGTGTGGTTTTGCAAATTTGCGATCACCATGTTTTTCCATGAAACGAGAGATGTTCTTTTTGCATTTCAAATTTATTAATTAAGCACCATCTAGTGATGATCGAAAATTTGTTTCTTATAACCCAATTTTATCATCACATTATTTACATTCGTCGACCTCTTCGCGTTCATTATCAGTTTCAAAACAGCAAAGTCGATCGGTTACCGAATATTTTATCGCGTACCATTGTTATCTAGAGAACTTTACACCACATCGTAAAATGTACTAAACGTAGTAATAGAATGTCTTAATCGGTTTTCCAATTTCATTTCGATACGTTCCAATTCATTTTAATTCAACGTTATGTTCTCGAAATTAGCGTGCAGCTTTTGTAGAAATGTCCGATTCTATTCGGGGGACGTTTCTCGGACGGCTCTTTACAATTTCCACGTGCAAAACGGCGGAAAAATGATCGATTTCGGCGGGTTTATGTTACCCGTTCAATACAACGATCAAAGTATAATCAATTCGCATTTATTTACGCGAAAAAGTGCCTCGTTGTTTGATGTTTCTCACATGTTACAAACAGAAATATTAGGTAAGCGATAAATTCATCAAAAAAAAAGTAATTAATTCGTTTTATTTCAAGGAAATGATTGTTCTGATTACTTAGAATCTTTATGCACGGCCGATTTAAAGTCATTACAAAAAGACACATCGGCTTTAACGGTTTTTACGAACGAAAAAGGGGGTATTTTAGACGATTTAATTGTAACAAAAATTGAGGAGGACCACTTATTCGTCGTTTCCAACGCAGCTCGCAAAAATCACGACCAAAACTTGCTAAAACAAGCTTTGAATAAGCACAAAGCCCTACATCCAAAAAGCAATACCAAATTGCACTTTTTCGATCCAATGGAACGCTCCTTAATCGCGTTGCAAGGCCCGAAAGCTGCGGAAATTCTCCAAAAAGTCACCAACGTTGATCTAACCTCAATCTTCTTCATGAAATCGATCCCAGCTTCAGTTTGCGGGGTTGAATTGTGCAGGATAACCCGGTGCGGTTACACAGGAGAGGATGGATTCGAAATTTCAGTTCCTTCCTTAAAAATAGTTGATGTAGCGAATGAATTAATCAAAAATAGCGATGTTAAATTAGCCGGATTAGGCGCGAGGGATTCTTTGAGGTTAGAAGCCGGGTTGTGCCTTTATGGGAACGATATTACCGAAGAAACCACCCCCGTTGAAGCCGGCTTAACTTGGTTAGTGGCCAAAAGTCGCCGGGAACGCTGCAATTTTCCAGGGGGTGATGTCATTTTGAATCAGATTAAAGTTGGATCCATCATTAAGCGAGTTGGTTTAATGACGGAAGCGGGGCCCCCACCCAGGCAAGGCGCGGTCATTTTAGACAAAAACGGGGGGAAAATTTTAGGGGGCGTCACTTCCGGGTGCCCCTCGCCCACGTTAACCAAAAATATCGCTATGGGATATGTTCCCGTCGAGTTTAGTAAAATTGGAAATGAACTCACCTTGAAAATCAGGGAGAAGATTTATCCCGCGAAGGTCGTTAAAATGCCCTTTGTACCAGCTAAATACTATAATAAGAAAAATTAATTAATAAATCTTTTAATAAACATTTTTGATTCAATATTAACTGTCAAAATACAAATTTGACATAACTAACTTCAAGTAATCAATAATAGATGGCTCTAATTTCTTAAAATTTAAATTGTAATTGAAACTTTAATAATAATAATTAGATTAATAATTAATAATAAACGAGTAGAATAAAGTTTTTCATTAAATAAATAAAGATAATCCTTAAAAACTTTTTTTAACAATTAATTTTAAAAATATTAAAATAGATGGCGCCACAAAAAAAATCGCAACCTAATTACTTAAATAAATTAATAATTAAACAATAAATATCAAAATAAACATTAAATCTCTCCATGAAACACTCCCATTAATAAATTCGAAATAAATCATTAATAAATAAAAACGACTTATTTATTTCTTATTACCTATTAAAAATTTAACAACATAACCTCACTTTTTTTCATCACTAAATAACTTAGAATCAATTGAAAGATAATTTAAACGAAATGAATCAAGCTGAAGTTTCAAAATTAGTCTCCCAATTACGAATCAAAGTAAACCCTCGCCTAAGAAAGTTTCGTTCACCCGGAGGCCCCGAAAAATGTCTCGAAAAGGTCTAATTGGAAATAAACTCACCTTGAACATCAGGGAGAAGATTTATCCCGCGAAGATCGTTAAAATGCCTTTTGTACCAGCTGAATACTATAATAAAAAAAATTAATTAATAAATCTTTTAATAAACGTTTTTGATTCAATATAAACTGTCAAAATACAAACTTGACATAACTTCAAGCAACCAATAATAGATGGCTCTAGTTTCTTAAAATTAATCTAAATTGCAATAAAAACGTTAATTAAATGTTAAACGTTAATAATAATTAGATTAATAATTAATAATGAAGGAGTAGAATAAAGGTTTTAATTAAATAAATAAAGATATTCCTAGAAAACGTTTATAACTAATTTCCAAAATATTAAAATAGATGGCGCCACAAAAAAAATCGCAACCTAATTATTTAAATAAATAATTAATTAAAGAATAAATATTAAAATAAACATTAAATTTGTCCATAAAACACTCCCATTAATAAATTCGAAATAAATCATTAATAAATAAAAAAGACTTATTTATTTCTTATTACCTATCAAAAAATTAACAACATAACCTCACTTTTTCTCATCACTAAATAAAACAGAATCAATTTAAGATAATTTAAGCGAAATGAATCAAGCTGAAGTTTCAAAATTAGTCTCCCAATTATGAATAAAAGTAAACACTCGCCTAAGAAAGTTTCGTTCACCAGGAGGCCCCGAAAAATGTCTCGATTAGCTCTAATTGGAAATGAACTCACCTTGAAAATCAGGGAAAAGACTTATCCCGCGAAGGTCGTTAAAATGCCTTTTGTACCAGCTAAACACTATAAAAAGAAAAATTAATAAATCTTTTAATAAACATTTTTGATTCAATACAAACGATTAAAATACAAACTTGACATAACTAACTTCAAGCAACTAATAATAGATGGCTCTAATTTCTTAAAATTAATCTAAATTGCAATAAAAACGTTAATTAAATGTTAAACGTTAATAATAATAATTAGATTAATAATAAAGGAGTAGAATAAAGTTTTTAATTAAATAAATAAAGATAATCCTTAAAAACTTTTTTTAACAATTAATTTCTAAAGTATTAAAATAGATGGCGCCACAAAAAAAATCGCAACCTAATTATTTAAATAAATTATTAATTAAACAATAAATATCAAAATAAACATTAAATCTCTCCATAAAATACTCCCATTAATAAATTTGAAATAAATCATTAATAAATAAAAACGACTTATTTATTTCTTATTACCTATCAAAAAATTAACAACATAACCTCACTTTTTCTCATCACTAAATAACATAAAATCAATTTAAAGATAATTTAAGCGAAATGAATCAAGCTGAAGTTTCAAAATTAGTCTCCCAATTACGAATAAAAGTAAACCCTCGCCTAAGAAAGTTTCGTTCACCAGGTGGCCCCGAAGCACGCCTCGATAAGCTCCGAAAAACGGTAACCGCCTTAATAAAACACGAAAGAATTGAGTTAAATTATCCACGTGCTGATGAAGCGCGAATGTACGCCGAGCGTTTAATATCCGATGCGATTCGATATGGGGATTGTCACAAAACAACGATGGAAATGGCAGATTATTGGTTAGTTGAAAAGCAATTGGTTCATAAATTGTTTAAGGTTCTCGCACCGAGGTTTCAAGATAGCCGGGTTTGTTACACAAGGATGTATAAAGCGCCTAGACCTTACCCGGGGGAGAAACATCTTAAAGCCGTTTTAGAACTTAGAGGTAATCCATATCCGGCTTTAATTGAGGATAATGCGAGTAATAAGAATTGGATTCATAATATTTTGTTGAATGAGGCAAAAAAGGAGTATAGAAAAGAGAAATATGCGGAAATTGCAGCTAAAATTGATGAAAAATAAAAATTGTAGTTAATATTAAGTTTATTGATTAAAATAGTCTTAAAAATAATTTTTTTTAATCCCTTCTTTTCTTCTTATCTCTTTCATCTCGTCGTTCCGGCTCCTTCCGTTTACTCGCTTTTTTAGCTTGAGTCAAAAACTGATCCAATCCAAAAGGGTCCTCTTCTTTTTCAAATTGAACCGGTCCAGATCTATTCCCCGCGGATCGATCCGTCCCTGTAAACTCTTTATCGGGAACGAATTTATTCGTTTTAATCAACTTATTTAAATCCTCCCCATAAACTTCTTTATCAATATTTTTCCCTGGCCTATATAAATGATTAGCCATCGACCCGCCTTCGCGCCATGGTTTATCATAAACATTATAAGCTTCATCATCACCATAACCATGCCCCAAACCTTGATTTTGTCCAAAAAGTCTTTGATCAAATTGACCCTCACCACTTCCAACATTTCTAGCCGGCATCCCCAAAGCAATTTGTTCGGAGATGTCTCGATCGCGATCTCTTTGCAATTTCGAACGTTTATCGGGAGCCGCTCGCGCTAAATTACGTTCGCGGGCTCTTTCTTTATGCCGATCGTGACGTAACGTCTCTCTTTCGCGTTCCTCTTCGTTTAAATTGTTGGGATCCCCCCCGGAACTTTTAATTCCCGCGCGTTCATCACGCGCCTTTTGGGCCAAAACCCTTAAATGTTCCTCTTTTTGTTCCTTTTCTTTTTGAGCGAGTTTCTTTTCGAGTTGAGCGCGAGTTTCGACGGCTTCGCGAGCTTTTCTATCCGCGATGTATAGAGCTTCCGCTAGTTTTGCGAAATTCTCGTTGATGTGTTGTTGTTGGAGTCCTCGACCGTCGGCCGCTAAACGTTTATCTAACGGAACGGTGTAACCTTTAGCGTTTTTCCAATTTGAAATGCAAGGTGGGATTTTCCATTCGCGTTGTTCTTTAACTGTGACTCTTCGCGTGGGGCTATGTAGGACTGGGGCGGGAGGTGAAGGGGGACCTCGAGGGATTTTTTTATTTATTTTAAATCGCGGGGGTTCCATTGGATCAACTTGGGCTTCAACTAAGCGAATAACTCTTTGTTTAGCCCCTGAATTAAAAGCAGCTCCTTGTTGAGAGGGGGTGTATCTAATGAACTCTGAAGGTCCTTGGGATTCAGCACACCTCACCGGCATTGCTGCAGCGATTTTTGAGTTAGTTATCCTCATTAATGATTGCCGCGTTTTTTCGGTTAAATCCTCAATTTCCTCTTCTGAAGGTTTTTCTAAACTCGGATCATTTTCAGCCATCACCTCAACCGGTAACAAATCAGATAACTTAGAATAAACGATTTTATCTTTTCCATGTCCTTGCCGGGCGATCACATCGTATTTAACCTTACCCTCAGCGTCTAATTGAACAGCAATCGCATTCGAGGTTGATTCTTTATTTTTCATCCCCATCTCAAGGGGGTATTGAGCTACATGAATCTCGGGGAACGCTCCCCCATCCCCGTAATCGCTTAATTTGCGCGGAATCCATCCTCGACGTTGCCCGTAAGGTGGGGCTATGTGGTGAGCTATTACAACCGCCGACGTTTTCTTCTCATTCGCGCGCTTTTCATCGTCCCGATCCCAAATTGATTGAGTCGGAGCTGGGAGGATGCTCGTAAGACTCATTTTTCTAGCGAAAAAAAGATTTGAGCCAAAAAAGTTAGGTTATGTATTTAACTTACCGTTATTTTCGGGGCGATTTAAAAAATAACACGTTATAAATCAAAATTTAATAACTAATCACTTATTTTAAATCGAATTAACACTAAATCGTTTCAACACCGCTTAATATTAATAAAAATTGATTTACATCATTTTTTGTGACAAAATGGAGGAAATGACAGGTTCGTTTCGTTGATGTTTTAGCGCCATCTATTAGATGTTTTTTTAATTTTTTTTTTAATTTCATCTAATTATTATAAACTAATTAATTAAAATTAACCAAATTAATCCCAAGCTTCGTTATATCTCAAATGCCCTAATCGATCCTCTAAAGTAACATGGTCTTTAAAATCCTTTTTCATGGCTCGTAACCTTTCCATTCGCTCCACCTGTTTTCCTAAAGCTATAGAATGCCCCTTTGATTGCTCCTAATCAATTTTCGATCCAAATTAATTAATCAAATAATAATTAGGGTTATGGTACGTACTGGTGTTAGATAAGGATGTCTCAATAAAAACATATTTTTCTCTTCAATTGCAAGTTTGTTTTTTAAATCTTGTATGTGCTCAGGTTTTACTTGCTGTATTAAACGATGTTTACCGGTGTAAATATTGCCGTTTGGCAAATTTCTTCGGCGAAAAAGCGCTTGGAAGAGCCGCATTTTATTTACTTTGAGGTTATGTTATTATCTGTCAAAATACTCGAGCATTTTTTAATAAATCAATAAATATAATGTAATAAACAAATAAAATATGTTAATATTAACAATTATTTCAAATTCATTGATTTTAATTGAAATATTTGCCTTTTTTTCAATCAATTAATGTTTTTAAGTGGAGGATTTAATTTTTTTGAGGTTGGTAAGAATGATCATTTAAAGCGGCGATTTTGAATAAAAAAATTAATTTTATAAATAAAATGTGCGTGATTGATTATTTTGACGTGCTTCAAATTCCTCTCCAAACAAATAAAGTAATCTCTACGTGACTGTTTATCAACAAGATACAAAGTCACGTAATTAAAAATAATTAAATACCTTTGTTGAATGGTCTTTAATCTACCCCGGATTTTTTTAGGATGGATAAAATCTCGTCCAGGGCCTTGAAAATTACGTCACGCAGCTTTTTAGAAATGAGAATTCCCCTTTCACTTTTCGTCAAACGTTTGGAAAGTCGGGCGGCGTTTCGTTTTCTCCGTAACGAAACGATTAATAAGAAAAATCGTACGAGTGGTGGTTTTTTCGTTAAAAAAATGGGTTGTTCGGCTTCAAAAAATGGTACAAAAATATTTTCCTTTTTTTTTGGTTGTTTTTGTGGCTTGGTGTTTATCGGAGCGGTTTTTCTTCAAAAAATTTTACCTTGAACTAAATATTTTAACTAATTAAGAAGTAACAAAGTTTTAAACATAACCTTAAAATTTTAAAAATCGGTTTCCATGGCGATGTTAAATCCTCCAACTCATTTTTTAACCACATTATTTTATTTTTATATTATTTTTCATTTCCTTATTTGTTAAAGTGATTTTTGACATTAAGGAAAAACCCACAATTTCACCTTGAACTAAATTAAAATCACTTATAAACGAAACTAACCTAAAAAATTTGACATTAAGAGAATCGTTGCCATAGTAACGAAATCATAACATTAATTCTAACCTAAAAATTGGGTTAAAATGGCTTCAGGTAAGTTTATAAAAATCAATAAGAAAACTAACCTAAAAGGTCACCTCTTAAAATAGAACTAAATAAAATGATCACCGTTTTAAATCTTTACCAAGAACTCTCTAAATTCTCAAAATTTTTAGGGACTTCTTCAACATCTGAGGAATACGTTGAGGGTGTTGTTTGTAACGAAGATGAAATTAATGAAAACGAAATGAAGGTGCTCGATTTAGAGGATGTGGGAAAGATCCTGCTTGTAAAACAAAAAGGGAAATTAACGGCGATTGGAGCGAAATGCACCCACGCGGGAGCTTTATTATCAACAGGAGCCCTTGGAGATGGTCGAGTACGATGTCCATGGCACGGGGCTTGTTTTAACATCACAACGGGCGATATCGAAGATTTCCCCGGTTTAGACTCTTTACCATGTTACCAAGTAAAAGTGGAAAACAACCAAGTTAAAGTTAGAGCGCGAAAAAACGATGTTGCAACAAATAAGCGCCTCAATACAATGTCTAAATTAGATCTAAATAATAACGAGTGTTTCGTTGTTATTGGAGCTGGCCCGGCTGGAGGAACTTGCGTCGAAACGCTCCGCCAAGAAGGATTTACTGGGAGAATTGTATTAATTTCGAAAGAAAATTCTTTGCCGTACGATCGCGTTAAAATAAGCAAAGCTATGGATATGCCGTTGGATAAGATCCAATTTCGTAATGATTCATTTTATCGCGACCACGATATTGAAGTTATGAAAGGAATCGCGGCGATAGGAGTCGATACAAATGAAAAATTAGTTAAATTAGATAACGGAAACGACGTAGGGTACTCAAAATTATTCATCGCGACGGGTTGTAAAGCCGTAAAAACCCCAATTCCGGGGGTTGAACTAAAAAACATCGAAGTATTAAGAAATTTTAATCACGCCGCTTACGTTCATTCGCAATTAACCCCCGATAAAGAAATTGTAGTCTTAGGAAGTAGTTATATTGCGCTAGAAGCCGCCAGTTATAGTGTTAATAAGGTTAAAAAAGTTACCGTTGTAATGAGAAGTGATGTTCCTTTCAAACCTTTATTAGGACCCCGAATTGGGGCTGCTTTTAAAGCATTCTTTGAAGAAAAAGGGGTTGTTTTTATCCCAAACTCGGGAATTAAGCGTTGTATTGATGACGGGCATGGTTTTATCAATTCAGTTGAGTTAATCAACGATGAAATAATAAAAGCTGATTTATGTATTATGGGGGTTGGTTCTCGGCTTTATACGGACTTTTTAAAATCATCTCAAGTTGATATTCGCGAAGATGGGTCGATAGAAGTTGATGATTTCATGGAAACTAACGTAAAAGGGGTTTATGCAGGAGGAGATTTAGCTTATGCCCCCGTTTGGTCTTATCGAAATATTAAAAGTGTTATTGGACATTACCCCTTAGCCCATATGCATGGGAAAATCGCCGCTTTAAATATGTTGGAAAAAAAGAAACCTTTAAAAGCCGTCCCATTCTTTTGGACGATGTTGTTTGGGAAAGGAATTCGATACGCAGGGCACGGAAAATACACGGATATCGTTTATTCAGGGGATGTTGAAGGATTAAAATTTGTCGCGTTTTATTTAGACGAAGATGAAGTCGTCGCCGTATCTAGTTGCCAAATGGATCCGATCGTTTCGGAATTTGCCGAAATTTTAGCTCAGGGAAAAAAATTGTATCGGAAAGATCTCACTGGGGATGATCATTTAGGTTGGAGACATTAAAAACATATTTTTGCTTAAGTATTAAACACAAACAGAGTATTATTTAGAGAATTTTTATATGTACTTACCCAGATTGTTTATTTATCTTTATAATAAATGTTATTTTTACAACTGAATTTAATCCAGTCTTAATTTTGATTGATTTGTGGATTAAATACCTTAAATTACTTAAACCTAACCTCAAAATCATTAAATTGAAAAATAATAAACGTGAAGTTGGCGCAAACGCAAATTCAATTTTTGAATTAAAATTAAATACTTCTCTTAATTATTAAGTTAATTATATTAAGTAAATTAAATAATTCAGAGAAATAAAAAAGAATTAAATCAATTAATTAATCGATGATTAAATTAAAAAATAAATGATTAATGTGAAGTTGGATACAAAAAAAAGTGAGGTTAGGAAGCACGAAAATATTTTTGTAAGGTAAATAATTTTAATTTTAATCCACTTTCCTCTTAAAAATTAATCTTTAAATTCAATATTATTTCGAATAACCTCAATAAAATTAATTAAAATAACTATACCTTAAATTAGATAAATGCGATACATAAACGAGGTCTTTCCAAATATTTACAACACTCATTTTTAATTATTTCGTTTTAAACGGAGTATTTTTTATACTCAACTCGTTCAACTTTAACTTCATCTCCAACCAATTGATAAACGTAAGTTACAACGGTCGTGTTTTGAATATCCATCAAAACAAAACTTGGAATGATACTCCTAAATGCAACGTTTTTAATAAAACAACCTCAAATAACAAAAATTACTTACGTATCTAAAGCGTTATAAGATCCGGTCGCTGATCCGGGATTAATATAAAATTTATTTTCTTGTTCGTACGCCTCAAATTTGTGCGTATGCCCCGAAATTAATATATCGACGTCTAATTGTCGTTGAATTAAAGCTAAAGAGTCTGGGTCGCCCCACGGTACAACTTGATGACCGTGTGTTAATCCGATTCGGAATTGCCCCACTGTAACCACTTTTTGCTCGGGATAATTTAAATTCTAAAACAATTTAATGCTTATTAAACAAAACATTAAAGTATTAAATCGATTACATCGTCGAAATCGCCTCGTACTACATGGACATCACTCGCTAACGATTTCAAATAATCGTACGATTCTTTAGTACATAAATTTCCGGTGCATAAGATGTGTTGTATTCGCCCGGGGGCTAGGAGCTTCTTAAATTTCGCCGGAAGGCTGCTACATCGATGTGGGATGTGTAAATCACCCAAAACTAAGACCAGCTAAAAGTTAGAACAAAGTGAGGTTAGGTTTGATCAGGAAGGTGATTTTTTTGAGGGTTTAATGTTAATTTAGGAGTGTTGGGGGGTTCTTAGATATACGTTACCATTTTAAGTTATTAAATATGTTTATAAATGTGTCTTTTTAAAGATTGTTTTGTGTTTTGGTGCAAATTGTGAAATGTCAAAAATAGGTGTTTCAATGTCGGTAAAGTAGATTTGTTTAATTTGATTTAAAGTTGTTAATTAGGTTTGTTGTTGTAAATGTTTTATGATTTTTAAGTTTATTTTGGGGTTTAAAACATGATTTTTTTTATAATTAATATAAATTGATTTTTTTTGAAGGTTATTAAAAAGTTATGTTAAGTCGGTAAAGTAGGTTTTACTTAAGTGTTGTTTAGTTTTTCGAATATGAATAAGGTGTTTTAATAAGTGGTAAATATTTATTTATTTTGATATAAAATAATCATTTTAACAAAGTTTATTGTTATTATTAATGATTTGTTGTTGTTTACGCGCGTTTTTAAGCTTGTAAAACAAAATCAATTCTTTTTTGTAAATTAACCTCAAAATGTCAAAGTTGTTATAAATTGATTTTATTTAAATAATGAGTAATAAAGAGTCTGGATCGCCTTACGGTACAACTTGATGACCGTGTGTTAATCCAATTCGGAATATTAAATGGATTACATCGTCGAAATCGCCTCGTACTACATGCACATCACTCGCTAACGATTTCAAACAATCGTACTATTCTTTAGTGCATAAATTTTCCATCAATAAGATGTGTTGTATTCGCCCGGGGTTAGAAGCTTCTTTAATTTCGCCGGGAGACTGCTACATCGATGTGGGATGAATAAATCACCTAAAACTAAGACCAGCTAAAAGTTAGAACAAAGTGAGGTTAGGTTTGATTAGGAAGGTGATTTTTTTAGGGTTTAATGGTAATTTAGGAGTGTTGGGGGGGTTCTTAGATATACGTTACCATTTTAAATTATTAAATATATTTATAAATGTGTTTTTTTAAAGATTATTTTGTGTTTTAGTACAAATTGTGAAATGTCAAAAACAGGTGTTTCAAGTCGGTAAAGTAGATTTGTTTAATTTGATTTAAAGTTGTTAATTAGGTTTGTTGTTGTAAATGTTTTATGATTTTTAAGTTTATTTTGGGGTTTAAAACATGATTTTTTTTATAATTAATATAAATTGATTTTTTTTGAAGGTTATTAAAAAGTTATGTTAAGTCGGTAAAGTAGGTTTTTCTTAAGTGTTGTTTAGTTTTTCGAATATGAATAACGTGTTTTAATAAGTGGTAAATATTTATTTATTTTCATATAAAATAATCATTTTAACAAAGTTTATTATTATTATTAATGATTTGTTGTTGTTTACGCGCATTTTTAAGACTGTAAAACAAAAACTGTTTTTGTAAAACCTAACCTCAAAATTATTATAAATTGATTTGATTTAAATAATGAGTAATAAAGAGTCTGGATCGCCCCACGGTACAACTTGATGACCGTGTTAATCCAATTCGGAATTGCTCCACCGTAACCACTTTTTGTTCGGGATAATTTAAAATCTAAAACAATTTAATGCGTATAAAGTAAAACATTAAAGTATCATTCGCTAACGATTTCAAATAATCGTACTATTCTTTGGTACTTAAATTTCCCATGCATAAGATGTGTTGTATTCATCCGGGGGCTAGGAGCTTCTTAAGTTTCGCCTGGTGGCTGCTACATCGATGTGGGATGCGTAAATCACCCAAAACTCAGAGCAGCTAAAAAATTTAGGAGTGTTGGGAGGGTTCTTAGATATACGTTACCATTTTAAGTTATGAAATATGTTTAAAAATGCGTTTCTTTAAAGATTTATTTTGTGTTTTGGAACAAATTGTGAAATGTCAAAAATTGGTGTTTGAAGTCGGTAAAGTAGATTTGTTTAATTTATTTAAAGTTGTTAATTAGGTTTGTTGTTGTAAATATTTTATGATTTTTAAGTTTATTTTGGGGTTTAAAATATGATTTTTTTTTTATAATTAATATAAATTGATTTTTTTTGAAGATTATTAAAAAATTATGTTAAGTCGGTAAAGTAGGTTTTTCTTAAGTGTTGTTTAGTTTTTCGAATACGAATAAGGTGTTCTAATAAGTGGTAAATATTTATTTATTTCGATATAAAATAATTATTTTAACAAAGTTTGTTGTTATTATTAATGATTTGTTGTAGTGAACGCGCATTTTTAAGCCTCTAAAACAAAATTAATTTTGTTTTTGTAAAATCTAACCTCAAAATGTCAAAATTGTTTGATTTTATTTAAATAATGTCTTGTTTTTCTTTTCAGATGTGGTGTGTGGAAACGGAAAATGCCTCAAATTAGTGCCTGTAGTTCCAGTTAGTGCGGTATGTACTTAAATTTATTTCTACTTAACTAAATTGTTGCTAAAATTAGAAAGTGAGGAGGTTTGTTAAAGAGAAAAACATAAGTATTTTCATAAAATAATATATTTGTTTAAATTAACATCTAAAAATAATACCACATCCATATCATTAACAACAAACTGGAACATAACCTCAAAAACTCATTGCACCAACTTAAGAAAATTAAATATTTGGTAAAAAAATAAAAATCTCACTCTAATTCATTTTTCCTTAACGATTTCTAACATTTTTTAATAAGGAATTTGGTTTTGATAATACTGAATCATATCGTAAGTACGAGTACGGAAGTTTAAGAAACTATTTCTTATAATCGACAACATATAAGCAGCGGCTTCTTTATCCGTAACATTTGGGGCAAAACGAGCCCTTAATAACTTGATTGTTTGGCCTCGGAAACATGGTAATCCTGTATCTAACATCAACGAAACCAGCGACACAATCGCTTCTCGATACGGCCTAAAAATTGAATCAAAAATTAATTTATAACCCAAAAATGAATTAATAAAAGATTTTTAATTACCGAACGGCTAAATAAGCTTGAATACACAGTTCACAAAACCATCTAAACGGCGGTGCTTCCATTTTCCCCCCCATAATCATAACCATTTCGTCAGTTAATTTAATATCCGGTTCAAAACCTAAATTTCCACCAGGAGATGATTCAAACATGAACCCAAAATCGATATGTATGATATGACCATCAGTGTCTAACATTATATTGCCATTATGGCGGTCTTTAATTTGTAATAAAAACCCAATAACGCTATAAGCAGCCATTGAGATAACGAAATTTCTTCGCGCTTGCTGAAATTCTTGGGAGCTTTCATCTCCATAAGTTTTTTGGAAATACTCGTACATCCCAAAATCGGTTTGGCGACCGAGTTGGTCGCGCGATTTTGCGTTTGGAACGCATTCAATTACACCACACTAAAAATTAAATGATTATAATTAAGAATTAATTAATAATTTTTGCTTACCCCTGGAGCTGTAGCTACAACTCGATAAGGAAATAGATACAAATCCAACCCAACAGTTTGAAAAACATTTTTAAAAATTCCAATAACTTGCAACGCAAGCATATCTTGCCTAACATCATCTCCGACCTTAAAAATGGCAGCTTGCCAAGTTTCTTGCCCCAAAGGAATCGCTTGCGTTTGATTATTTGAAATTTGCATTGCGATATTTTCCAATTCGTTAATTCCACATTTGGCCACTTTAAATCGCGCCAAATACGGCGCTTTCGCTGCACTTTGCATCGGAGTTCCGCTTTTATAATCGATGTCGACGACCATAGCTTCTGGGTTACTTGGTAAATAACATCCGGGAGTTACCTTAAAAAAAAATAAATTAATTAATGAATTTTTATTAAGATTAATAATAAAAGTTACTTTAATTTTACTGAGAGCTTCAAGACAAGCCGCTTTTCGCTCGGCTCCTTTCGGATATGGTCGTATCTGGCCGCTAATATCCGTTACTTTGGCGAAAAACTCGAATTCGCGTTCGTAAAATTGCTTAGCCGGACCGGAAAGTGATGAGATTATTGATGCTACTTGAGCTTCCAAGATATCAAATAAATCGACTATAAAAAAAAATTAATTAAAGTTGTTGTATGACAGTCGTGGAAAAGTCTGGGTGGATTGGGTATTGAAAAAATCTTAAGAAATGATTATGAGATTATCTGTATCCATTACTGGAAGAATTTGAAACGGTCGCTCTTCTTAGAGACATCTTTTCTGCCAGGTTATCTCAAAAAATTGAGATATTTAGTAACGCATCTTTCTTAAAGGTAAATATTCGTGAAGAAATTGCTAAAATTCCAATTAGTTTGTTATCAAAGACTTATTGCTTAGCTTGTCATGGCGAGTAATTACAAGATTTTGAAAAGAAAAACTTTGCTGGGTAATATTTTGCCTTTAGGAGATTAAAAAATGACAATAAGAAGATTGGGTTGGGTTGGGAAAGATTGGGTGTAGAGAAAAATGACTAAAGACAGTATGACAAAACAGGAAAAAAACTGGAAAGAGAAAGAAAAAGTGTAGGGAGAGTGGAAAAGGTCTGATAATAGGGAAGAAAAGGGAAAAAACATTTTTGGCAGAAAGAGAAGTGACTGAACAGAAAGTGGCAAGACAGGAAGAAAATTGTGGAAAGAAAAGGGAAACAAAATGATAAGACAAAAAAGGGGGAAGACTGGGAATAGAAGAAAAAGGTTGTATAGAGGCAAAAAGGAGACTTGGAAAAAAGAAAAGTGATTGAATAGAGACTGGCAAAGCAGTAAGGAGTCTTGGGAGATTAAAAAAAGATTCCTAATGCAAGAAAATGACACGACAGAGAAGGCAAAGACTGGATAGAGACTAAACTATGAGAAACCGGAAAACGGAAGCTGCAAAACAGTCAGCTCTGGATGTTTTAATCACTAAGATGACAGATGGGGCATGGATTTGAGGGTGTAAGTGGTTGAAAATAGACTGGATAGGCACGAAGGACTCTGGGTAGAGAGGAGGGAGATTGGTAATGAGACTCCTAAGAGTCGTGTCAAACGCACTGGGAGTAGATCAAGCAACAATTTCTAGACGTTTAAAAGCACTTGGGTTCATCCAAAAGCAAAGAAATTGGGTGCCATACAATCTGAAGGCAAGAGACGTCGAATAGCGATTTGCATATTTGTAATGCTGCTTCAACGCCACTAAATGAAAATAAGTAATTAATGCATACACCTCGATAAAAGAAAGGGATTTGAAAGAGACTGGAGAGAGAGAAGGAAGATTGGCAATAAAAGTAAGAGACTTAACAGAGATTGGAGAGATAGGAACAAGATTATACAAATTAATAAATAAGAGAAACATTGCAAAGAGATTGGGTAGAGAGGAGAGAGACTGGAAAGAAACGTCAAACACAAGGAAACGATTATACAGAGAAAAGGAGGAATGGAAAGGAATTGGTAATGCAAAAAAATAGGTTTGACAGAATACAAAAATGAAAAATATGTTCCAAAGGCGCACAGAAACTGTAAAGACAAGAAAGGGACTTTTAATAGAGTTAGAAACTGATAAAAGGCTGGAGAGATAGGAACAAGATTTGACAGAGTAAAAGTAAATAAAAAACACTGCAAAAAGACTGGGTAGAGAGGAGAGAGACTGGAAATGAACTCCAAACGCAAGAAAATAGGTAGAGAGACAAGAGGAAGACTGGAAAGGAATTGGTATTGCATAAAAACAAATTTGACAGATACAAGAAATACAAAAATGAGAGTGGGCATTAAGAAAGAAGACTGAGGAGAGAGAAAAAAGACTGGAAATATGTTCCAAAGGCGCACAGAAACTGTAAAGACAAGACAGGAACTTTTAATAGAGTGAGAAACTGGAAAATTTTAACTGGAATATTTGGGTATATAAAAAACATCATATGCCAAACCTATGTAAGACTTATACTTATGCTGCAGTCTATATGATTATGTGAGGAGTACAGTAAGAGATGAATGCGGAGCTCAGAACGTGGTGAGACCATGTCAATAGGATTAGGGTCTTAAATTAGTCTCAATTAGTTTTCAACAAGAATCGGAAGTTTGCAAGGATTATGGCTTAAATGAACGCCATTATTTACCTTGAAGAGCAAGAACGTAATTACAATTAACTTTTTTGCCGTCGCAATGACATAGAATTGATTAGAACAAGAAAGTACACCTGTATTGAAGTAACTCGGATTTTAAATCCAGTGGAAAATGTAATAATGACTCAAAGAGTACACGGAAAGGGAGTACAACAAAGTAAATCGTATAATAACCCAAGTATCAAGTTCATTAAACATGTTGGGAAGATCATATAAGACGTATGTATAATATGCATTGGGGTAGATCATAAAAATTATTAGAAAAAAAATCGAGAAGTTAAAACTGTTAATTCGCACAAAATGATGCTTAAACTTTGAAAATTCCTGGAGAAGCTATTTTTAGGAATGTAGAAATAATTTTTATACCAGATGAAAGCTTAAAGATTCCTCTTTAAAATGATATATAATATGAATTGGGGTAGATCATAAAAATTATTAGAAAAAAAATCGAAAAGTTAAAACTGTTAATTCGCACAAAATGATGCTTAAACTTTGAAAATTCCTGGAGAAGCTATTTTTAGGAATGTGGAAATCATTTGTATACCAGATGAAAGCTTAAAGATTCCTCTTTAAAATGATATATAATATACATTGGGGTAGATTATAAAAATTATTAGAAAAAAAATCGAGAAGTTAAAACTGTTAATTCGCACAATGTCAAAATATCAAAATGACGCTTAAACATTAAAAATTCCTAAAAAAGCTATTTTTAGGAATGTAGAAATAAATTTTATTCCAGACGAAAGCTTAAAGATTCCTCTTTAAAATGATATATAATATGCATTGAGGTTGATTATAAAAATTATTAGAAAAAAAATCGAGAAGTTAAAACTGTCAATTGATACAATGTCAAAATATCGAAATGACGTTTAAACTTTAAAAATTTCTGGAAGGCCTATTGTTTGGAATGTAGAATTAATTGTTTTCCCAATTGAAAGTTTAAAGATTTCTCTTTAAAATGATATATAATATGCATGGGGGTAGATTATAAAAATTTTATAGAAAAAAATCGAGAAGTTAAAATTGTTAATTCGCACAAGGTTAAAATATCAAAGTGATGCTTAAACTTTGAAAATTCCTGGAACAGCTATTTTTAGGAATGTAGAAATAATTTTTATACCAGATGAAAGCTTAAAGATTCCTCTTTAAAATGATATATAATATTCATTGGGGTAGATTATAAAAATTATTAGAAAAAAAATCGAGAAGTTAAAACTGTTAATTCGCACAAGGTTTAAATATCAAAATGATGCTTAAACTTTGAAAATTCCTAAAAAAGCTATTTTTAGGAATGTAGAAATAAATTTTATTCCAGACGAAAGCTTAAAGATTCCTCTTTAAAATGATATATAATATGCATTGAGGTAGATTATAAAAATTATTAGAAAAAAAATCGAGAAGTTAAAACTGTCAATTGATACAATGTCAAAATATCGAAATGACGTTTAAACTTTAAAAATTTCTGGAAGGACTATTGTTTGGAATGTAGAATTAATTCTTTTACCAGATGAAAGTTTAAAGATTTCTCTTTAGAATGATATATAATATGCATGGGGGTAGATCATAAAAATTTTATAAAAAAAAAATCGAGAAGTTAAAATTGTTAATAATATCAAAATGATGCTTAAACTTTGAAAATTCCTAGAAAAGCTATTTTTAGGAATGTGGAAATAATTTGTATACCAGATGAAAGCTTAAAGATTCTTCTTTAAAATGATATATAATATGCGTTAGGGTAGATTATAAAAATTATTATAAAAAAAATCGAGAAGTTAAAACTGCTAATTCGCACAATGTCAAAATATCAAAATGACGTTTAAACTTTAAAAATTTCTGGAAGGGCTATTGTTTGGAATGTAGAATTAATTCTTGTAGCAAGTTGAGAGAGATTAATGGTAAATATAGCAAGATTAAGAGGAAGCAAGAAAAAGTTGAGCTTCTTAATCCCAATCCAATCAAATAATGTGTCAATATTGATAGTTAGGCAAATTCAAACACTTAATGTGCTTGTTCAAGTAATCTGCGATTCATTAAAGTATAAATAAATTCTTGCTGGTGTTAAACAACACCGATTTCTTAGGAGATAAACGCTTTTTAATAAAATTACCATCTTTTTGTTGCATTTCTTCATCTGTAAACATATTAGTTTTCATGTTCCAAATTAATTGGTGAGCGACAATTTGCGATTTTTGCGCCACATATTTGATGTATTCCGTTACATAACCCATCTAAAAATTTGAATTATAAAAAATTAAGATGAAATAAAAAAAAAATACAAACTTACAGTGTCGTGTCTTAAAGCCTGCACCAATTGGGGAATATAAAATAGCACAGCTTCCGCTGGATACGAAGATAAAGCCCTAACTGCGTATTGAGCTGTTATTGGATGTGGCGGATATTGCCTACTGAAGAATGCCAAAGCCTATTTAATTAATTAAAACAATTAAATGAAATTTATTAATTAATTTTGAATTGATTTACTTGAATGGGTGAAACTTCCGCCCACGTTAACATATACACCAATTTAACACTATCGTTTAAGATGTTATCAGTTGTGGCTAAATATTGGAGAGCATCCGGAATATGAGAGACACTCATTGGGTTTTGTTGCACCAAGTGTTTAACTTCGCTTATTAAAGCATCGTGAGCTTTTAATCTTAAATCAAAAAGAATTAATTTTATTTATTATTTGGTTTTAACTTTACCTATCGGGTAAATAAACAGCTAAAATCGGTGAGATATCCCACGCTAATCTCGTATAATCCTTCCATTGCTTATCCGTAATAGTTTTCGCCCTCCAAGCCGCTAAATTCTCCTCACCCGGTATAATATATTCAGGTCGCGAGCTCGGATTATGCCAAACGATCAAAAAATCGATTTCAACCGCCAACAACTCCAAAATAAAATTTCTTTTTTTAATATAACACCTAACGAAATTATCGGCCATTTGGACCCGTTTTGATTTCGTGGAGCGTTTACTCAAAGTTGCGGTGCTTGCCGACGATGGAACCGTGTTAATCCAACCGGTACCGGTTCGTGTAAAATCGGACTTTGGGAACTCCGTGGAGCTTTGAATCGTCGTTAAAGGAGTGGGAGGGCCCAAATCTAAATCACCGACGTCGCTTGCTTTCAAATATTTCTTATCGGAGTGCATCGTTTGCCAAAAACGCACTAAAACGGTGATATCGTCGCGTAAATCGTTAAAATTTTGGGTGGGGCACCTTAGAGGTCTGCAAAAATAATCCAAGCAACAACAATAAATGCGTTCTCTTAAAACGTTTTTTGCTAAACTTTTGGGTAAAATATCGCCTTGTAATAGTGATAAACCACATTGTAGGAGCCTAAAAATTAAGATTAATTTAATTAATTTAAAATTATAACCTCAATTTTAAATTAATTTACTTAAATCGAACTCCAACAGCTGAGACATCTCGAGTTATATTCGGTTCTTTAGCTCCTACATTCATCGTTAAAGATCGGTGGATTAACGAGGCTAAAATCTCAACGATTTCGTAACTATTATATTTGGCGGTTTCGACGAGTTCGCTTATGAAGTAAACCCAAATTGAGTGGGGCTTTACAAAGGGGGGGTTTGGTTCTAAACGCCCCCCTTCGTGGTTTGCTAACGGACTAGTTTGCGGGGGAGATTCCGAAAATAACCCCATTCTCCTTTGGACCGTGTAATACCAAGCTGACGCCATTTCTTGCAAAAATCTTACTTGTAATTGCGGTTTAGCAGTTATTAACCACTGCCAACACTCAACCGCTGAGCACATTGCTTCTTGCGTAAATAATTGTAACTAAAATTAAATTGTGATTTATTTTTGAATGAAATTTATAGTCGCTAGATAAACTCCTGTATATAATATATACAGGGTGAGTTAAATCTTTTGAGATAGAAAAAATGTTTTATTTAAAAGTTGTTTTGATATTAGATACACTATACATAAAGCGTGTTCATAAAACTTGTTAAATTTTAATGTTGGCTTTTTCATAAGATATTTAAATGGAACATCCTGTATATTATGTGCTGGTTTAATTGCTCATTAAGTTCCCTTTAATTAATGATAAGTGCGTCATATGTCTAATTTTAGTAGTTTTCCTGATATTTGAAATTTAAAGAAAAATGTGTAATAAAATATGCCATTATTGTACTTAATATTACATTCTGTCTATTTTTATCAATTTTTTTTTTATTCATTGATTGTAAATTAGTACTTTAATTAGTAGATTTAACTTTAATCATGTTCTATTTAAAAAACTTATGAAAAACCCGTTTGAAAAACATCAAAATTTACAATGTTTTATGAACACGCTGTATAATGTATCTAATATCTTTGGGCACTGCCATCTACCGACACAGTCTAATAAAGGCAAAATGAGTAAAAATGTCGTTTTTACATAAAAAGATCCTGCAACGGGCATATTTTGGAAAAACAATTGAATGTCTCAGGAAGCATTAATGCAGTGAGTTAGTAACATATACGGTTGGATAACTAAATTTAATTCTATTTAAACTATGGTAAAATATATAGGGCGTTCCATTTAAACAAATTTATATAATAGCCGTCACGACCAAATGCAACACCCTGTATAAATGACAATAATTTTACGTTAAAGAAAGTAGCGAAACAAACAACTTTGGTTTAAAACATTTTTTTCTATCTTAAATGATTTAGTAGTTATCGACCGCCGGATACTAATAACTCGCCCTGTATATAATTATTATATAGGGTCGCTGATATGTATGGAAATAGTTGGTTATCTCTTAAAGCAAGATAGCTACCAAAAAATGTTAAGATACAAAAGTTTTAGTGTTTTTTAAAACCTATTACAGTAAAGACAAATTAAATATACAGGGTCAGTCAAAAAGTTGTGATGAAACAAAGTTACGTTTTCTTTAATGGAACACTCTGTATATTATAAGAAAATAAGGTATTTAATATAAAAATTATAATCGTAAAGAGAATTGAAAATGCTTTAAAATGAGTCCAAACTCGGTAGGGTTATCTATAAAAATAACCGAGATATCAAAGTTAAATGCCAAAACAAAAAAAAACAAGATGGCGGTGAAGTCTTTTTTGATTTTAACCTAACTTTTTTGATTGTCAATGTAATTATGGTGTTTGGTATCAAATTAACGGGGTTTTGATGCAGATTACGAATCTAATATTTCCAAGATTAAAAATTCGAAAATTTTTTTTAAACTTCTAAAAAGAAACTTCAAACATAACCAACCGTATAGGAAATTAAAAATCCTTTAAAATGAGTCTAAACTCGATGGGGTTATCTATAAAATTAACCAAGATAGAACGAATTTTAACAAATAACAAAAAAACAAGATGGCGGTTATGTATCTTTTAATTTTAACCTAACTTTTTTTATTTTCAATGTAATTATGGTGTGTTTGGTATCAAATTAACGGGGTTTTAATGCAGATTACGAATTTAATATTTCCATGATTAAAAATTCGAAAATTTTTTTTAACCATTTAAAAAGAAACTTCAAACATTACCAACCGTATAGGAAACTAAAAAACCTTTAAATTGAGTCTAAAGTCGATGGGGTTATCTATAAAATTAACCAAGATAGAACGAATTTTAACAAATAACAAAAAAACAAAATGGCGGCTATGTGTTTTTTGATTTTAACCTAACTTTTTTGATTTTTAACACAAATAGGGAGTGTTTGGTATCAAATTGAAGGATTTTTAATGCAGATTACGAATATATTATTACGATCAATAAAACCGCAATTTTATTTTTCGAATTTCGTTTCGAATGTTCCGTCATAACTTTTTGACTGACCCTGTATACTTAATTTGTTTTTAATCTGTGTAATAGATTTTAAAAAACACTAAACTTTTCTATCTTAATATTTTTCACTAGCTATCTTACTTTAGGAGATAACTGATCATTTCCATACATATCATCATTTATGTTTTATAAAGAGGAGATTATCTAGCGACTATAGAATCGGTCCTAAATTGAATTAAATTACTTGTGAGCTTGCAATGCAATGCAATAACTTCCTGTTTAAATCTGGGGAATGAATCAGCATTGCGGTGGCTCTCCATAAAGCGTCTCGATGTTTTGAGTCGGATCGGTCTTCGCAAGCTTTCCAAACGTTGCTTATTAATTTTTCCGTTAATGAGTTATCGCCTTGTTCAGCGTAAACGGCTAATAATCCCGCTAACTAAAAAATAATTTTATTAAAAACAATCATATAGGTAGGGCTGGTTGTATAATATACCGATAAAGTTATCGGGAGGATAAAGATAATAATTGTTTATGCAGTAACCATACAAAGTTTTTATATAAAAACCTTGGTAAGCATAAATATCTGGCAGATAATCTCACCGGCAAAAATATCCGTACAGCACAAATTAACTTATCGGCCAGATAACGCTGTCGGGAAGTTTATCGATATATTACTACAATAGTATTAATTACCTCCCCGCTATACTTCGATCGCAAATTAAGTACAGTTGCGAATCTTGACGCATCGGTTTTAACACACCTTGGCCTCTTCTCCAACATACTAAAACTTAACGCTAAATTCGTAAAATTATTTGGCCCATATTGCAAAACCGACTCCAACGCTAAAGCTAACCCAGAATGGGTCCAACACGAAGTTGGAATCTGATTTAAGTATTCTTGAATATGCGACCTCGTCCAACGCGGTTCCCAAGTAACCGCTTCCTTCAAAATACGCTCCGCGTTTGAGGCGAAATCTTTAACGATCGCTTCGCGAGCCTCCAAAGTGTCCATTAATTGTATCGAATAAGGAGTCGATGGAATCCGTAACGTTGGAGTCTCTTGATTCGGATCTAATTGCAACGAGTACGATAACACCTGTAGTATGTCTAAAGTCGTCCATAAAACTCGCCGATTCCATAACAAATGTGGGAATTTATCGACGAGGAGAGATAAGAATTTATCCGCAACTCTACGGATTTGCTTTTGGGGGTTATTGAAGTTAACCAAAAGGAATTGGGCGTGCTCTTCTAAATCGGCTTCGCGGTGTTCATCGCGAGGCTTATTTTTCATTACTTGAAGGAATCGATCAAAAACTTTCTCCCCAACGGAAGAAACGCAATTCCACATACCCGATTTATCTTTTTGTAGCGCGGAGTCGCTTAAATAATCGACGATTATTGTTTGGAGATTAGGTTCGACAGAATTACCAACTCTAACAATTAAAAAAGAAAGATAATAATAATAAGAAATTAATTTATCTAATTCTTCCATTATGAAAATTAAATTTTAAGTGTCTTTTTGGCGTAACTTTTTTTTATAACTGGTGATGTAATGATTTTATTACATCACTAGTGACGTAATGAATTCCATTACATCACTAGTGACATAATGAATTGCATTACTTAACTACAAATTGGTTTTTCAATGAAATTAGATAAAATTTTGTACTTAACACGTTATGAAACGGCTAATTTAACAAAATTAGTCTTTTCATAAGTGGTTATATAAATAACTATTACCTACCTTAAAGTTTCAACCCAATAAACGCTTAAAAGAAAAGTTAATTGCGCAAAAGACAATTTATTAACGTAAGATGAAACATCAGAAGCTCCTTTTAATAACTCCAAAACTTGTAAGCGCAAATCTTGTAACTCATTAACCGAAACGCTTTCATTTCTGACAGCGCTCGTGTATTGAAGCTCTCTTAATTCGGAGCGATTCGATGATTGCGAAATCAAAGGGGGCGATTTAACCGCGATCTCTTTGACCCCTTCGTACCATTCTTGCGGCCACAACCCGAAATCGGGGGATGTAAATCCCATGATGACGCAATACAACCAAAAATCCCTAAATAATTTGTGTAACCTCGCTTTTGGATTTTTAATCGGGGGTAATCGCCGTAAAAGAACCGCAATAACGGGGATTAAAACGCCCAAATTTCCCGCGGAACTCGAAGCTTTCATCGCACCCGGAGATCTCTCGCTGGCTCGTTTTCCTTCTAACCCCAATTGAACGAATAGTTCTAATAATGATACTAAAAGTCCGTGTAAACTTTCTGGTTTTATGTTAGCGGCGATGTTTGCGAACGCGTTTATTACGGCTCTTGAAACGTGACCGTATTGCGCTTTATCGTTGGGGTTGTTCCCGTAAGCTGCGTTGCTGCTGTCAACGGCGATCATGTTAAACATTTTCATGACGACGTCGTAAATGTGAGGTTCGCATTGCGCGATCACCATGCAGCCTAATTGGTCAACGATTAAGGTGTCTAAAGATGATGGGACGCGACAAAAACGTTGTTGGAAAAATTGTAGGATTGTTTCGGTGGTTTTTGGGGTACCTAAAAAAATGTTTTAATTAAATTAGTTTTAAAAGAACTAGTGAAACAAACAAAGGAAGGCAGAAGGATGGGTATGGACTACTTTAAGAAAATTCAGAGAGAGAGATAGATTTGATGACTGAACTAAGAGAACTCGGAAGGAAAGGAGTTAAAGCTAATTTAGAATACAACAAAATAATTTTGTTGTAAAGGATGAAGCAAACGACGAGGGGAAGAAGCTGGGAGGAATAATATACGTACAGTAAAAAGGGGAGGAAGTAATTATAATGGGAGACTGGAATACGAGAATAGGTAATGGGCAATGCTGGAATTTTGTCAAATAAACGACTTATCGATTGGAAACACGTATTGGAAAAAAGTAGAGCAACTTTTAATTTTTCTATATTAAATTTATGTTTTTCGTCAGGTTTTACATTACTATGGCAATGTGTATTATGTATTAATTGTTTAGCCGAAATTAATGTTCTTACAATTATTCTATCAACTATCAACGACCCATGGTAGCTCACGGAGCCATAGTCTGGTGCTCAGCACTAAAACATGCATATAAAGCTACATTGCTGCATCAATTGCAACGACTGGCCTGCCTGCTAATCACAGGCGCTATGAGATCTACACCTACGATTGCAATGGAGACTATGTTAAACGTGCTGCCCCTAGATATTTTTATCAGGGATGTGGCCGTGATGGCATTGCTTCGGTTGCGATCAGTAAATGAAAAGCAGGTTGTTAAAATGGGAATAGTCCGGAGCAAGCTCTGGAGTGAGGCTGTTAGTAAACAACACCTCCTTAAACCTCGCACAGACTACATAACACCTACTTTCTTCTGTGGCTTGCACACTTTGGCATTGAAACGATACCCCAGAGCAACTCAAGCTCGGGCAAAACACTGACCATCTACACTGATGGATCAAAGAAGGCTGGAGGTTCCGGAGCGCCTTTCCACTTCGTTAGGATCGTATTGCACGACTGCTCAAGCCGAATTAATCATAGCAACCGATGCGATTATCGACTCCAAAAAAGTCGGCAGAAACGTTGTAATCTGTACTGATAGCAGACAGGCTATGCTGGCGGTTGGCAGGCATCATACTGCATCATCGTTGGTGAAGTCCTGTCGGCAATCACTCGAAGAGGCAAACGTATACAACAACGTCACGATAAAATGGCGAAAAGGACACATCGGAATTAAAGGACATGATCACCCCTGAACCGTTTGTACCACTAGCTGTTAATACAGCATCAAAACTGATAAACTCCATCTCCCACCGAGCTTTTTGCGACAGATGGGATGGGACAGCAGTAGGTGCCTTTGCTAAGAAAACTCTGCTCTACCCTGACCGGAAGACATCCACTCAGTTTCTGGGAAAATCGAAAAGTGACTTGAGGCTTCTCACCCACTTCCTGACCGGACACTGCAGGTTACGTAAGCACATGTTTTACATGAAGCTGGCGAATACACCCCTCTGTAGAGGGTGTGAAATGGAAGACGAGACGGTAAGTCATATTGTTTGTGACTGTCCAAACCTCGTGTACTTAAGGGAATCTATTTTCGGAGTACCATGGCTCCAAATTTCGGATATAAGGAAACATACCTTTCTGTTCTATATTAACGTTCATGAAAAGATTGGGCTGGTTTTCTGACCCTTGAATGAACAGTAAATTGTGGGGATGTACAAAGGGTCCGCTGGGGCCTAAGTGCTGTGAGTAACTCACCCCCACGTGAAACTACATACATACATTATTCTATCAAGGCACATCCATTGATTTTTTTTGGGACGTCCAGACTTTTTCTTCAAGTCTACAAGTCCCGTCTCACGATATTGTTTAATAATTACTACACATTTGTGTAAAGAGAATTTGCGAGAGATATCACATTTGTTTCAGTTTTACAAACAGCTACACCACGAGGCATGTTTAAGACTGGTCTTATCGAATGTATCTTATCAAAAACTCGTTCTTATTTGCCTTACGTTTGTATTTCTTAGCAAAGTTGTTGTCCAACCCAAGTTTTATAATTTTATTTTATTTCTAATAAAATAAGGCTAGCTTTGTGAAATCTTCACTTCATAAATGGTGTATAATATACGCTACCATAGTAATGTAAACCCTAAGGAAAAGCATTAATTTAAAATTTAATTTACAAAAATTAAAAGTTGCTCTACTTTTTTCCAATACTGTACAGGGTGTCCAAATTTCGATGGGTTTGCAGGGTATCTGAGTTATTATGAAAGATAGAAAGTTGCGGCTTTCGCGAACCTGAGCTACTTTTTTGTGAAACTTACAATGGCGCAAACCAAATTTTCATAGCCCTCTTCGTTTTTGATATACAGGAGTGTTTCAAAATTTACGATTTTCAGACACCTCCTGTATCTCGGCTATCCGGAAACTTAGAAAAAATGTAAAAACGGGTTCTAATAGATTTTTCACGTGAAATCTAATGGTGCACGTAGAATTTTTCTAGTCATCACGGTTTTTGAGTTATAAACACAACTCAAATACTGAATACTCAACTTTTAAAATACTTAACTCTTTATAACTCAAAAACCGGGATGACTAGAAAGATTCTACGTGCACCATTGGATTCTACGTGAAAAAATCTATTAGAACCCGTTTTTATGTTTCCGGATAACCAACATACACGAGGTGTCTGAAAATCGTAAATTTTGAAACACTCGCTGTATATCAAAAACGAAGAGGGCTATGAAAATTTGGTTTGTGCCATTGTAAGTTTCACAAAAAAGTAGCTCAGGTCCGCGACAGCCGCAACTTTCTATCTTTCATAATAACTAAGATACCCTGCAAACCCACCGAAATTTGGACACCCTGTACATCACACACCCGGAATCTCCAAAACAGAATCGAGGAGGTAAAGACTGAAGCAGAAATGGGAACCAATCTCAAACTAGTCATGGCAACTATTAATAATATAGAAATCATCCATAAACGATGTTATCCATTTGTCTATTATATGATAAGTAACTTGAAATTTAAAATGTCAACCTCAATTTTGACATATTTGTAATCTTCATTAAAAATCCTTTAAAATGAGTACAAACACGACATATTTATCTTCAATATTAATAAAGTTATGATCAACTTCCGGTTAGAAATGTCAACGTCAATTTTGACATATTTGTAATTGTGAAAAATCCTTTAAAATGAGCCCAAACATAAACGTATCATGTTCCAATATTCCAATATAACTCGAGATATAAGCAACATCCGGTTTGAAATGTCAATGTCATTTTGACATATTCTTCATTTTTATAAAATGTGTTAAAATTTGTCACAAAAACAAAAATATAATAAAAAAAAACAAGAATTAAGGTTGGTATTAATATTTAAAAATGAAATTGCTATCTTCATTGTTGCTAACTTCGGGTTTAATATTTTTTATTCCAACTTTTTTGTTTTTTGAGATAAGTGCGTCTTGTTTGGACTCATTTTAAAGGTTTTTTAATAAAGAATTGAAGGAACACCATGAAGTTGTCTATTTGTGTATTATATGACAACTAACTTCAGGTTTAAAATGTCAACCTCAATTTTGACATATTTGTAATCGTCCTGAAAAATCCTTTAAAATGAGCCCAAACAATATTACTCGAGATATAAGCACCATCCGGTTTGAAATGTCAATGTCATTTTGACATATTCTTAATTTTTATAAAATGTCTTAAAATTTATCACAAAACTAAAAATATACAGTTCGTTTTTTTTCTGTAATACTTGTCAATGTAAATTTTTTTAGGGTTTCTGTTGGTATTATCTAGGACCCTTATAAAATGTATGTTGTTTTCCTGATTTTTAGTAACATTTCAGTAACTAAATAGTTGAGGTTAAAATACTAATACATTTTTAGATAAATACGATTTTGACGAAGTACATATTTGTTGTAAAAACGTGCTACAAAGTAATTAAATAGAACAAAACACCTTTTTTAGGTAAATAAATGGCAAATAATTAATCACAACATTTTTTATGCACCTTTTCTTTTTGAATAACGAAAGCTCAAACGTCAATGTGACATATTTATTTCAAAACATGATAAAACAAAACTCCCTGTTAATTTTGCCAACTTAAAAACAATTTGGCAGGTATTATAACAAATCAAAAAAAAATGAAAAATTAAGGTTGGTATTAATATTTAAAAATTATATTGCTAATAGTTACCAACTTTGATATTTTTTATTATAACTTTGTTATTTTTCGGGATAAATGCATGAAACATGTTTTTTTCATGTTTGGACTTATTTTAAAGGATTTTTTTAATAAAGAATACATCATAAAAGGACACCATGAAGTTGTCTATTTATCTGTTATATATGATAACTAACTTCAGATTTAAAATGTCAATCTCAATTTTGACATATCTGTAATCTTCACATATAGTAGATGTAGAACTAGAAACATTTGGGTTTAGCTGTTCGTCTCTAAAGATGGTTTTAGCGCTTAATAACAATTATAACTAGAACTAACACAAGACCTAGAACTAGAATCATTCAGGTTTAGCCGTCTTGAGAGACGTGCGGCTAAACCCGAATGTTTCTAGTTCTAGGTCTAGTGTTAGTTCCAGTTTTAAATGTATTTAATGTTAAATTGAACTAACCTTACAAAGTTAGGTTATAATCTGTCAAATGTCAAAATTGAATTTAATTATTTTATGATAAATGTTGAAATAAACGTAATAAGAATCAAAAAGCATTTGATTTGATATTAAACATGACCTATTTAGGTTAAAAAATGAAAAAGTTAGGTTAGCATCTGTCAAATGTCAAAATCGAATTTAATTATTTTTTGATAAAAGTTGAAATAACCGTAATAAGAAACAAAAATCTTTTAATTTGATACCAAACATGTCATATTTAGGTTAAAAAATAAAATGTTAGGTTAAGAATTCAACAAAAAACCCGCCATTTTGTTTTTCTTGACGTAATTTCAATATTTTCGGAAATATGTCGAGTTTGGATTCATTTTAAAGGATTTTTAATTTCCTTTATGATGCAATTGGTTAGAAACGATTTTATTATATGTATTAAAAAATTAATAATAATTTTTTTTTATTAAAAATTTTTTTTTTATTTCTTCTATTAAATTCTTAATCTTTATTAAAATCCCTTTAATTTGGTACGGAACACAACTAATTTCCGATAAAAATCAAAAAGGTTAGGTTAGGAATCAACAAAAAATCCGCCATTTTGTTTTATTTTGACGTAATTTTTATATTATCGTGAATAGGTCGAGTTTGGACTCATTTTAAAGGATTTTAAATTTCCTTTACGATGCAATAGGTTAGAAACAAAAATTTGTTAGGTTAACAATCAACAAAGCTGTCAAACGTCAAAATATGACACTTTACACATTAAATTTCGAATATACCCAAAATATCGGGCTAAACCCGATACTTTCTAGTTCTAAGTCTAGTGTTAGTTCTAGTTTTACGCTACCACTATCTAAATGAAAGGAAAAACATCAAAAATTTTTGAAATGAGCAAAGGAATAGATCAAGGCGATAGCCTAAGCCATATGCAAATGCAAATATAAGAACAAATATTAAACGGTAATAGGTTATGAAAGTTTGAAACCAGCAAAAAGAGATAATTTATTATTTGAAATATAGGCAGAAGAAATTGAAAAGATGCGCTTAGAATTGAGCGTAAATAAATGTAAAATCGTGATAATAAATAAATCATATGAATACTTGGGCTGTATATAATACCACAAGATGGAAGGATAGATTTAGACATAAATGCAAGAATAAGGAAAACAATTTTTAGGATGAAGGAAAGTGTACAACTCCAGTGCCAGTGCCAATATGAACATATGCCAGTGAATCATGGACACTCCAAGATAAACAAGGAGGAAAGATCACAGCGATGGAAATGAAATTTTTACGGAAAATAGTGGGGAAGACGAAGTGGGATAGGAAAAAGATTAAGGAAATAAGACTGGGAGCAGATCAAGAGTAAAAAAGGTATTTGAAGCAAACAATAAGGATAGGAAAAAGAGGAGAAGAAGTTGGAGGAAAGAATAGCAGAAGTCGGACAGAAAAGACTCCAGCAGATATAAGGGAATTACCCAGGAACTGGAGGAAGTGGAAGAGATTTAGAGTCGAAATATCTTTGCTTTTCAAAATCAAGATTGCCAAAATCGCAAGTGTCAATTAGCGCCATCTATATCTTTAAATGTTAATTTTTGTGGTGGATATAAAGTGTGTTACATCAAATCATGCTAAAACTGCCTGCTCTTTATGAATATTTAAAAAAAAGAGGGGAAGACCTAGGAAGAAGTTGGAGGAAAGAATAACAGAAGTCGGGAAAAAGATAGGGAAGACTCAAGCAGATATAAAGTAATTATCCAGGAACTGGAATTAGTGGAAAGAGGGAAGGAATAGGAAAAAGATTTATCCAGTATAAGGAATAAGCTTATTTTTACCTTTCATTGAAACAGCAACATGCCCCAACATATAAACGATGTTCGTTGATATCAAAGTTGATTCGCTGTCGCTTTTTTCTGCAGTAAATAACCGATTTGAAACGCTCGCAACTAAAGCTCGTACACAATCAGGGTCCAAACTGTGGGCTGAGTATAAAGCGTAGCATAAATTTTCGATGGCAGCATCGCGAAGCTTTTCAAACGCAGCTTCCGAAGTTGAATTATGATGGCGTTTCTCATCCGTTAAGTTATTAGGATGCAAAGATGGGCTGGTTATTCTCAATTGGTCCTTATTCTTTTCGGTGGCTTGTTGATGGAGTTTAAATAAGATGGGTGATGGGGTAATCAAAAAATCTCTTAGATAATAAATCGAGGTTGATGCTATGTTGGGAAATTTTTGCGCCAATTTTCCTAAACCTTCCAAACACACCATCAATAATGGCATATGAGCCAAAAGGAGTTTATGGCCGTGATTTGAGTTGATTTTCTCGGTTAAACGGCTACATAAACTATCAGCACCTTAAAAAAATAATCAAAAAATTATTTAAAATGTTATTTCAAAAATTATTTTAGCACAAAAATGAACAAATTTAATAATCTAGAGTTAATTCTAGAGTTTCACTTTTTTAAATAGAATCTACGGAACAAACAAAATACAAAAATCAAAACGAAAACAAAACGATTTTTTTTTCACTCATAAAGTGATAAAGTAACTAGAAAAAGAAAACAACACTTAACGTAAGAGAAATCGAACAAAAATAAAAAACAAAACTAAATACGGCTACGTTGGTTCATTCACCTATAACTAAAACGAGATCTTGTACCAATGTTGAATAACTTAATGGGTCTGGAATGAAAAGAATCAAGAAAATAATAAGAAAAAAGTAAATAATAATTTCTAACTAGCACCATATTTTGGTGTAGGGGAAGATTAACACCAATAAAGTCGAAATTAAAAGTTTATTATAGCACCATCATTCATTATATGAGTAAAAAGTACCTCAAAGGTGCTTATATAAAATTATACAGGGTGACTCGTACATAAACGTATATACAGGGTGTTTCAGGTTTTTGTACCACACTGAAAACAACTACCGGTGATTTGACACTTGATACAATAAACTAAAACATTAGTGAACTTACCTACTTTGTTTCAATGGCAAACATTATAATATCTATCTTTAAAAATTCTCTAAAAAAAAATAAAAAGCGGATTATCTTGAAAACGATAAACTGTAGCGCATTTTGATAAGAGTAACCTTTTTGCTTAAAAAGTAAACAGAATAAAAATTTTTATTCAAAAAGCCAAAAAGTATACTGTCAGAAAAGTTATTGTTATTTTAATCCGTAAAGAATACGTTACAGAGCGCCCTCTACCGGCTATAGTAAAACGGACTCCATAATCGTCTTTCTCAAGCGAAAAAACCTCCGTATACCAAATTTGAAAAGAATCGGGTGAAATACACGTGTAATATTAAATATCAAAAAATCAATTTACACATTTAATTTGAACACCCTGTATCTCCAAAACAAAGCGTTTGTCGATCTATGTTTATATGAAGTTTTTGTGTTAATTTTAAAAGATCTATCGACTGTTGAAGTCCTGCTACAAAAACCTGAAACACCCTGTATAGCTCTTCTGCAATTGATTAAGCCAAATATGCCTTATACAGGGTGTATCTGAATGACATGCCCAAACGTCAGGGGGTGATTCTTTAGGCAATTTTAAGGGTACTTTGATATATGAACCATGGGCGACTTGGGCTCCCCTAAAGAGCTACACACCTCCAAAAATGGCGGAAAATTTTGGTTTAATTTTTTTTTCTCAAAAACCTTAAACGCTAGGAAAACGAAATTTGGGGAATATGTTTAACTCATAGTAGGGCACGTTTTCACCCTATTTGTACTTTCAACCTATCCTTCTAAACTACTAAACGTAACCACCCCTTTTACATTTTTGCTAAAATATTTTTATACAGATGGTAAATACATTAAAAAAAAATTTACATAGGTAGATGAAAGAATCCTAAAACTTTTTTGTCTCTCTAAAATTTTTCCAAAAACCAGTAATTTTTGAGAAAAAAATAGTAAAGCAAACACTGCTCGTTAAACAACGGGGTTGTCTATCAAAAGTTGGAATGAATTTTTAATGAAAAAATCTTAGTAGGCTTTGCAATCTTTGTCAGAAATATTTTTGACGTTATATGTCAGTGTTTTTCTTACTATTATTATTGTTTTTCAAATTAATTTTTGAATAATAGTAAGAAAACCACTGACATTTAAACGTCAAACATATTTGTGACAAAGACTGCCAAGCCTGCTAAGATTTTTTCTTTAAAAATTCATTCCAACTTTCGATTAACAACGCTACAGCTTAACAATTAGTGTTTGCTTAATTAATTTTTTTCTCAGAAACTATTAACTTTTCGAAGAACATCAGAGAAGCAAAAAAGTTTTAGAATATTTTCGTCTATCTAAATAAAATATTTCCAATGTATTTATCACCGTCATAAAAAAGATGTAGACAAAAATTGAACGTGGGTGGTTATGTTTAGTAACTTAGAAGGGAAGATTGAAAGTAAATAGGCTCGAAACATGCCCTATTATAAGCTAAACATATTTCCCAAATTTCATTTTCGTGGTATTAATGGTTTTCGGGAAAAAAAAATAAACCAAAATTTTTCGCCATTTTTGAAGGGGCGTAGCTCCGCAGGGGAGTCGAAATCGCTGATAGTTTATACAAGAAAGTACCCTTAAAATTGCCTAAAGAATCACCCCCTGAAGTTTGGGCACGTCATTCAGCTACACCCTGTATAAAGTTCAATAGTTTAGGAATTATTTCAAGTTTTTGATTTTTGTACATTTTCAGTCGTGTTAGTTTAAAACTGTGCTCAAAAATGACGTATCTCACTTTTTCAATCCAACTTAACCTCACTTTTTTAAATGACAGTTTGTTGACACGTTTCATTAAAAAAGTTTTATTTAACTCACTCAGTTTTAGAAGTGAAATTTGTGTCATATAAGTTCGTTTTAGTCATTCGTACACGTTTTACGTTATATAAAAAAAAATCAAATAATAATTTGCGTTTCTCGTAGTTTTAAATGTTAAAAAATTTGACATGTTGAGAAGATAGTTACCAATTGCTTTTAGACTTTCCCCAACAGATGGCGCTATCTCCTATGCGTCTTTATCAAGTGTCATTTTTTGACGTATCATTAAAAAAAATTATTTAACTCATTTTGCGTTAGAAATAAAACTAAAACTAGAAATTTTGAGGTTGAACCCTAAAATTTCTAGTTTTAGTTTTATTTCTTATTCCATCGGCAGTAACGGTTGTGAAAAATGTCACTTGAAAAAGTGAGGTTAGGTTGAAAAAGTACTTCGAAGACGTCGGTCGAGTTTACTTTTTGTGAAAATCGTTAAAAATCTTCTAGCACGCACTGAGTGAGTAAAATGAATGTTTTTTTAATGAAACGTCAAAAAATGTCACTTAGAAAAGTGAGGTTAGGTTGAATTGAAAAAGTGAGGTTGGGACGAACAAATAGATAAACAAAAATAACACATTTCCTAGCACAGTTTTAAACAAACACGGCCGTTTTCGAAGACATCGGCCGCTGTTGTAGCGTCTGGGATGGCCGGGGGCGGCCGATGTCTTCGAAAACGGCCGTGTTGGTACTGGAAAGTCATGTTAAAGATTTCTAACCTCACTTTAATAACACAACCTAACCTCACTTTCAACTGACATTGTATTTTGACGTTTTAATAAAAAAAAAATGTATTCAACTCATTTTGCTGTAGAAATAAACTTGCCTTTGACGCACGGCATAACCTCAAAATTCCTAGTTTTAGTTTTATTTCTACCGCGAAATGAGTTGAATACATCCGTTTTTTCATTAAAATGTCAAAATACAATGTCAATACAACGTCACTTATAGGAGATAGCGCCATCTATCTCTTATGCGTCTTTTTCAAGTGACATTTTTGTCGTTTCATTAAAAAATAATTTAATTCAACTCATTTTGCNAGAAAAATTATTATTTTGAGGTTATCTCCTTAATTATTGATTAAATCAAAAAAAATTGTTGACAAAGTTTGTTTAGAATTGTTTCAGGGACAATTTTTGTTAACATAATTTTTTTCTAACTTGAAATTTTAATTTCCCACTGAACAGTATGCTGTTTTAATCAAGATTTTCTGAGAACGAGTGGAGGGGGGAAATCGTATCGTTTTGTTACAAAAGTTCCGTGCCCTGCTCATGACAGACAAAGTGTTGAATAATGAAGCCATTATTCCACAGTTCTGACACCACCTACTAATCAAAAAATAAAATATTAACAGATATGACAGCTTTCTTATATTGAGGTTATGTCTGAAATGTCTATCAAGTATTTTTTTTTTCCTTTTTTGATTTTTTTTTTTCAAAATTAAATAGTTGTAGATAAAGTATAGTATTCAACTTGCGTATAATGGATGTTACTTAACTTTATCCTTAACTTTATACATAACTTTATCGTATTATATCTAAACAATGGGACATTATATTATAAGAATTTTTTATTCAGAAACAGGAGATACAACCCCTCAAATTTTTTCTACTCATACCTGATACACCCTGTATTATAAGATAGTCATGGACAAATACGTTTATATACAAGTCACCCCTGTATAAAGGTACAATAATGTCAATTTCCTTACCAGTTTCATCTCCAATAGCCCAAACCAACAAATCAACACACGCAGCATTCGCCATAACATTAACCTTAAACTTATTAACAAGCACATAATTGCTTTCACGATCCTCGCGTTCGCTCGCATCATGTTGGCGACTTTGCAACTCAGTTTGTCCGTTTAAAAATAATCCCTTCACAAATTCCTGGACATCTTTGGTAAACGGAATTGGTAAATCTTTTTGCGGTTGGAGTAACTCCCTCAATAAAGTTACAACGACTAAATTGATCGTTTCTGAGAACGTTTTATAGGGAAAAGTTGCGATTTTTCCCGTCGAGTAAATCTCTAAAGATTGATCGTCGATTATGTTTAACATATCTTTCGTTAACAGCTTTTTAGCCAACGATAAAATCGTTTGGAGGTTATGTAACGAGAATAATAAGTTTTGGTTATCCGAGTTCTCACAAAATCGCATATTTTGAAATTGGTTAAAACTTGAGCCGAATTTTTGAAAAAAATGGGTTGTGAAATCGTAATTTCCGGTTGGATCCGACGTCGATTGTTGGTTTTGGAATTTTGATGTGTCAATCGTGTCGAAAGAACCCTAAAATTAAAACCAAAATTGAGTTTAATTATAAAATTAATTTTTTATTACACATACTTGATTCATCGATAAAATATCAATGCTAACGGATAAATTTCCAGATAAACTTCTCGGGATAATCGACCGAAAATTGCTAAAACTTTTTTGAAAATGCGTTTTATCGATGTTTTCTTGATTTTGGATTATCGGGGGAACCGGCTTTGGGAATAACCGACATACCAATGGGGGATCGTTAGGGCAGAACCTCCCCAAAGCTCGGGTTAATCCGATAAAAACCGGGATCGTACCCCGACACAAAAAAAACTTTTGACTCGAAGATGTCCCGTGGGATTGCAACGTTAAGAGCGATTCGGTTAAATTCGCGAAACATTCCACTTGAAGGGAGATTATTTCTTCTCTCGAATCATCCAAACGAGTTGCGATATCCGATAATAAAGTGTGTAGACAAAAACTGAATTTCTCAGAAACCGGAATACCTAAAAAAAATAATTAACTTTGGTATAATAAATAATTCAAGAATCATCATGTCGCTTAAAAATCGACAATTTCTTTTCAATCGACACTCAAGTAAGCAGTTACTAATAAAAAGAGTGCGGAAAAGTGTGAAACTTATTAAAAAAATCACTTTAAAGTTTCGACGTGATGTCACTTTTTGTGATATTTGGTTAAAACACATATTTTCGGGTGAAATAATCAAATTTGATCATCACAAAAAGCTTTTAATGTCAAAAATGACATTTAAATGACATCTTAAAGATTAAGTTTACAATTTTGTTACAGTTTAACATTCTAAATGACATCTACTCGTTCTTTTTTGCTACTAATTAACATTTTAACTGTCAAATTTGATTATTTTTCATCACAAAAAGATTTCAATGTCAAAAATGACATTTAAATGACATCTTAAAGATTAAATTTACAATTTTCTTACAGTTTGACATTCCAAATGATATGTCAACCTCAATTTTCGCAACCAATTGACGTTCTAACTGTCAAATTTAATGATTTTGCATCACAAAAAGATTTTACTGTCAAAAATGACATTTAAACGAGATCTTAAAGATTAAGTTTACAATTTTGTTACAGTTTGACATTCTAAATGACATCTACTCCTTCTTTTCTGCAACCAATTGACATTCTAACTGTCAAATTTAATGATTTTGCATCACAAAAAGATTTTAATGTCAAAAATGACATTTAAATGACATTTTAAAGGTTAAATTTACAGTTTCCTTACAGTTTAACATTCCAAATGATATGTCAACCTCACTTTTTGCTACCAATTGACGTTCTAACTGTCAAATTTTATGATTTTGCATCATAAAAAGATTTTAATGTCAAAAATGACATTTAAATGACATCTTAAAGATTAAATTTACATTTTTGTTACAGTTTGACATTCCAAATGATATGTCAACCTCAATTTTTACTTCCAATTGACATTCTAACTGTCATATTTGCTCATTTTTCATCAAAAAAAAGTTTTTAAATGGCAAAAATGACATCTTAAGGATTAAGTTTACAATTTTGTTACAGTTTGACATTCTAAATGACATCAACTCCTTCTTTTCTGCAACCAATTGATATTCTAACTGTTAAATTTGATCATTTTGTATCACAAGAAGATTTTAATGTTAAATTAACAATTTTGTTACAGTTTGATATTCTAAATGACATCTACTCCTTCTTTTCTGCAAAAAATTGACATTCTAACTGACAAATTTGATCATTTTTCATCACAAAAAGATTTTAATGTCAAAATTGACATCTTAAATGTTAAATTTACAATTTTCTTACAGTTTGACATTCCAAATGATATGTCAACCTCAATTTTCACAACCAATTGACGTTCTAACTGTCAAATTTGATTATTTTTCATCACAAAAAGATTTTAATGTCTAAAATGACATTTAAATGACATCTTAAATATTAAGTTTACAATTTTGTTACAGTTTGACATTCTAAATGACATTTACTCCTTTTTTTTTGCAACCAATTGACATTCTAACTGTCAAATTTAATGATTTTGTATCACAAAAAGATTTTAATGTCAAAAATGACATTTAAATAACATCTTAAAGGTTAAATTTACAATTTTCTTACAGTTTGACATTCCAAATGATATGTCAACCTCAATTTTTGCTACCAATTGACGTTCTAACTGTCAAATTTAATGATTTTGCATCAGAAAAAGATTTTAATGTTAAAAATGACATTTAAATGACGTCTTAAAGATGAAGTTTACAATTTACTTACAGTTTGACATTCCAAATGATATGTCAACCTCAATTTTTGCTACCAATTGACGTTCTAACTGTCAAATTTAATGATTTTGCGTCACAAAAACATTTTAATGTCAAAAATGACATTTAAATGACATTTTAAAGATTAAATTAACAATTTTGTTACAGTTTGATATTCTAAATGACATCTACTCCTTTTTTGTTGCTACCAATTAACATTCTAACTGTCAAATTCGATCATTTTTCATCACAAAAAGATTTTAATGTCAAAAATGACATCTTAAAGGTTAAATTTAGAATTTTCTTACAGTTTAACATTCCAAATGGTATGTCAACCTCAATTTTTTGCTTCTAATTGACATTCTATCTGTCAAATTTAATGATTTTGCATCACAAAAAGATTTTAATGTTAAAAATGACATTTAAATGACATCTTAAAGATGAAATTTACAATTTTCTTAAAGTTTAACATTCCAAATGATATGTCAACCTCAATTTTCGCAACCAATTCACGTTCTAACTGTCAAATTTAATGATTTTGCATCACAAAAAGATTTTAATGTCAAAAATGACATTTAAATAACGTCTTAAAGATTAAGTTTACAATTTTCTTACAGTTTGGCATTCCAAATGATATGTCAACCTCAATTTTTGCTACCAATTGACGTTCTAACTGTCAAATTTAATAATTTTGCATCAGAAAAAGATTTTAATGTCAAAAATGACGTTTAAATGCCATCTTAAAGATTAAATTTACAATTTTTTTACAGTTTAACATTCCAAATGATATGTCAACCTCAATTTTCGCAACCAATTGACGTTCTAACTGTCAAATTTAATGATTTTGCATCGCAAAAAGATTTTAATGTCAAAAATGACATTTAAATGACATCTAAAAGATTAAGTTTACAATTTTGTTACAGTTTGACATTCTAAATGACATCAACTCCTTCTTTTCTGCAACCAATTGACATTCTAACTGTCAAATTTGATCATTTTTCATCACAAAAACATTTTAATCTCAAAAATGACATTTAAATGACATCTTAAAGATTAAGTTTACAATTTTGTTACAGTTTGACATTCTAAATGACATTTACTCCTTCTTTTCTGCAACCAATTGACATTCTAACTGTCAAATTTGATCATTTTTCATCACAAACAAATATTAATGTCAAAAATGACATCTTAAAGATTAAGTTTACAATTTTCTTACAGTTTGACATTCCAAATGATATGTCAACCTCAATTTTTGCTACCAATTGACGTTCTAACTGTCAAATTTAATGATTTTGCATCACAAAAAGATTTTAATGTCAAAAATGACATTTAAATGACATCTTAAAGATTAAGTTTATAATTTTCTTACAGTTTGACATACTAAATGACATCTATTCCTTCTTTTCTGCAACCAATTGACATTCTAACTGTCAAATTTGATCATTTTTCATCACAAACAAATATTAATGTCAAAAATGACATCTTAAAGATTAAGTTTACAATTTTCTTACAGTTTGACATTCCAAATGATATGTCAACCTCAATTTTTGCTACCAATTGACGTTCTAACTGTCAAATTTAATGATTTTGCATCACAAAAAGATTTTAATGTCAAAAATGACATTTAAATGACATCTTAAAGATTAAGTTTATAATTTTCTTACAGTTTGACATACTAAATGACATCTATTCCTTCTTTTCTGCAACCAATTGACATTCTAACTGTCAAATTTGATCATTTTTCATCACAAACAAATATTAATGTCAAAAATGACATCTTAAAGATTAAATTAACAATTTTCTTACAGTTTGACATTCCAAATGATATGTCAACCTCAATTTTTGCTACCAATTGACGTTCTAACTGTCAAATTTAATGATTTTGCGTCACAAAAACATTTTAATGTCAAAAATGACATTTAAATGACATTTTAAAGATTAAATTAACAATTTTGTTACAGTTTGATATTCTAAATGACATCTACTCCTTTTTTGTTGCTACCAATTAACATTCTAACTGTCAAATTCGATCATTTTTCATCACAAAAAGATTTTAATGTCAAAAATGACATCTTAAAGGTTAAATTTAGAATTTTCTTACAGTTTAACATTCCAAATGGTATGTCAACCTCAATTTTTTGCTTCTAATTGACATTCTATCTGTCAAATTTAATGATTTTGCATCACAAAAAGATTTTAATGTCAAAAATGACATTTAAATGACATCTTAAAGATTAAATTAACAATTTTGTTACAGTTTGACATTTTAAATGACATCTACTCCTTCTTTTTTGCAACCAATTAACATTCTAACTGTCAAATTCGATCATTTTTCATCACAAAAAAATTTCAATGTCAAAAATGACATCTTAAAGATTAAATTTATATTTTTGTTAAAGTTTGACATTCCAAATGATATGTCAACCTCAATTTTTGCTCCTAATTGACGTTCTAACTGTCAAATTTAATGATTTTGCATCACAAAAAGATTTTAACGTCAAACATGACATTTAAATTACATCTTAAAGGTTAAATTTACAATTTTTTTACAGTTAGACATTCCAAATATGTCAACCTTAATTTTTGCTACCAATTGACGTTTTAACTGTCAAATTTAATGATTTTGCATCACAAAAAGATTTTAATGACATTTAAATGACATCTTAAAGATTAAGTTTATAATTTTGTTACAGTTTGATATTCTAAATGACATCTACTCCTTCTTTTCTGCAATCAATTGACATTGACAGTTAATTGACAGTTAGTCAAATTTAATGATTTTGCATCACAAAAATATTTCAATGTCAAAAATGACATCTTAAAGATTAAATTTATATTTTTGTTACAGTTTGACATTCCAAATGATATGTCAACCTCAATTTTTTGCTTCCAATTGACGTTCTAACAGTCAAATTTAATGATTTTGCATCACAAAAAGACTTCAATGTCAAAAATGACATCTTAAAGATTAAATTTATATTTTTGTTACAGTTTGACATTCCAAATGATATGTCAATCTCAATTTCTGCTTCCAATTGACATTCTAACTGTCAAATTTGATCATTTTTCATCACAAAAAGATTTTAATATCAAAAATTACATTTAAATGACATCTTAAAGATTAAATTTACAATTTTCTTACAGTTTGACATTCCAAATGATATGTCAACCTCAATTTTTGCTACCAATTGACGTTCTAACTGTCAAATTTAATGATGCATCACAAAAAGATTTTAATGTCAAAAATGACATTTAAATGACATCTTAAAGATTAAGTTTACAATTTTGTTACAGTTTGACATTCTAAATGACATCTACTCCTTCTTTTCTGCAACCAATTGACATTCTAACTGTCAAATTTGATCATTTTGCATCACAAGAAGATTTTAACGTCAAAAGTGACCTCCAAATAATAGTTTAAAAACAAAATTGACAAATTTGACATTCTAAATGACATATTTACATTACTTTCTGCAACCAATTAACATTCTAACTATCAAATTTGATCAATTTGCATCACATCTTATGAATGACATCTTAAAGATTAAATTTATAATTTTCTTATGTTGTAATCTCACCTACTTTAATGATAATAACTTTACTTTTAAGTTTATTTGATTGATTTTGTGTGTGGCTATAAAATAAACAATTTGTTGGTTAGGTATTGACCGGTTTAATTGAAAGTTTAATGTAATTTTTCAGTATGTTCTACACTTTCCTTTTACTTTTAACATGTTTTGTGGGTAATTTTATAATAATTTTAAAAAAATCGCGGATTTTAACCCACATGATAATATTTGATTTTTTCCTCAACTTTTTAATAACCCGCAATTTAAAGTAATTATAGCAAATAACCCAATTTATTTTTTGTTTCAAGGTTAATTTAAAAAAAAAAAGTCATGCCTAACTTAACTTTTTTAAATCCATTAAACTTTGAATTAAAATTTAAAAAAAATCTTACGATCTTGCACGTGTACTCGTCGTTCTTCAACCCAAACAGCTTTACCGAGTCCTCGAGCGACTTTTAAGAAATACGGTAGGATTTTATCCTGGTGTTGAAACCTCGATTCCAGAAAATAAATCCCCAAAGCGATTACCGCGTCCTGATCTCGTTGGGTTAATCGAAAAACTCCGTTCGCCGTTTCTTTGGGGCATAGCGAAAATAACGTATTCACCTAAGATAAGAAATTTTATTAAAACTACCTGTTAAAAAAATGTTTTTGAGGTTATGTTGGAGGTTGAAGGTTAATTAAGTACTTACGCGTTCCCAAGGGACGTTTTTTACGCAAGATAATGATCTAGCGAGATGCTGCACGGTTTTGTGGAAGAATAATTTATCGTCCGCGGCCATTTCAATTGAAATTTGAGGAAAATTACATGTTATTGGTTCAAGCGACGTTTTTAAACTGGATATTTCGAGTTGATCGTTTGACGTTGACAGTTTAGGTTATGTAAATTAAATTGACGTTTACAGGGACGAATTTAGGTTAAATTTAATTCTTTATTAATATTTTTACAAAAATTACCAAGTAAATTTGTGCGTATTTCTATTTAATTTCTTCAAGTGTTTAACCTCATTTTTGAGATGCATCACTTCGTCCTCTAACATTTTTATTTTACTTTTTAATTGGTTATTCTCATCTTTTAATGTATCATAATCATCATTTGAGGTATTTTTGATGTTTATTAAAGTTTCCTCCGCAAGGGGATCTTGTATCATTGATATTTGTTCTTTTAATTGATCATAATCTTCCAAATCGTCGTCAATCCACACAACTTCATTTAAATTTTCATTATAAGACACAAATAAAGGTTTTTCTTCTTTAATACTTGATGAAAAAACACTCGGTACCGCTGTTTTTTTTAATCGCTTGATGCATGTTCCAACAATGAAGTCGGATTTATTGAAATGTTTCGAACACACCTACAAATGAAAGCAAATTTGATTATATTTAATAAACGTATGAGTACTTACTCGTTTTGTTGGGGTGAAAGATGTTTTAAATGGGACTATTTTTATCCATTTTGCCCTTATAACCGGATCGGAGGGGAACGAAAAAAACGATACGTTACAATCTTTATAATTTGCGCTTTTGCAGTTCTTTACTGCGCATAAATATGGCATTCTAATTGACATCGAAATGTTTTAAAAAGACGATTTAGAAATATAACATAAACAAAGATTCTAACCTAAATTTAATAAATCGGTACAGCGTTCTACTTTATCGTCCGCGAATTGACGGACCTGAAGTTGTTTGGCAAATATACATCATAAGAATAATACATAAAATTAAGATTAAATTAATTTACTATCTATGAAATTTAAAAATTTCTAGTTTTAGTTTTATTTCTAACGCAAAATCAGTTAAATAAATTTGACACTTAATAAAGACGCACAGGAGACAGCGCCATCTATCGCAAAAAGTCTAAAAATATACCATAAATTAAAACCACCAGAAAGCCAATTACTATTTAATTTTTTTATAACATAAAAGTGTACGAGTGACTAAAACGAGCTTCTATGACGCAAATTTATTTTTAGTTTTATTTCTAAAACTGAGTGAGTTAAATAAATTTTTTTAATAAAACGTCAAAAAAGTCATTTGAAAAAGTGAGGTTAGTTGTGTTGGAAAAGTGTTATTTGAATCATCAACATCATTTTCGAGTACTAACACGGCCGTTTTCGAAGACATCGGCCGCCCCCGGCCATGGCGAGCGTTAAAACATTAAAAACCTTGCCTTGGACATCAACTCGCATTTCTAAAAATGAACATTTTGAGTTCTCGGGGGCGACCGATGTCTTCTAAAACGACCTTGTTAGTTTAAAACTGTGCTGGGAAATGTGTTATTTTTGTTTATCTATCTGTTTGTACTAACCTCACTTTTTCATTTTGAATCGCTAATATGAAAGAAAATCTTTGAGAACTGAGTGAGTAAAATAATTTTTTTTTAATGAAACGTCAAAAATGTCACTTGAAAAAGACGCTTAGGAGGTAGCGCCATCTGTTGGGGAAAATCTAAAAGTAATTTGTAACTATCTTCTCATCATGTCAAATTTTTTAACGTTATTTAAAACCTCGAGAAACGCTAATTACTATTCGATTTTTTTTTTGGTATAACATAAAACGTGTACGAATGACTAAAACGAACTTTTATGACGCAAATTTCTCTTCTAAAACTGAGTGAGTTAAATAAAACTTTTTTAATGAAACGTGTCAACAAAGTGTCATTTGAAAAAGTGAGGTTAGGAATCCTCAACGTCATTTTCGAGCGCAGTTTTCAACAATAATCACAATTTTTGTGAAACTTTTGTNTATAACATAAAACGTGTACGAATGACTAAAACGAACTTTTATGACGCAAATTTCTCTTCTAAAACTGAGTGAGTTAAATAAAACTTTTTTAATGAAACGTGTCAACAAAGTGTCATTTGAAAAAGTGAGGTTAGGAATCCTCAACGTCATTTTCGAGCGCAGTTTTCAACAATAATCACAATTTTTGTGAAACTTCTGTGAGAATCAATTTTTTCTAAATATATCATGTTTGGCATCAAAATCAATGTTTTTAAAAACAAATTGTTGATCATTCACAACAATCCAATTTTTTTGTGAAAATTTTGTGAATTTCAATTTTTTTTTATGAAAATGTTATGATTATTATCAAAATTGATATTCGTTAACAAAAAAGTGGTATTGTAAAGGTTATTGTAATGATAATCATTCACAATAATCACAATTTTTGTGAAAATCAATTTTTTCTAAAGAAATATATCATGTTTGGAATCAAAATCAATGTTTTTAAAGACAAATTGTATTGTTATAGCTCATTGTTGTGATAAGCATTTACAGCAATCCATTTTTCTTGTGAAAATTTTGTGAACCTCAATTTTTCTTTAATAAAAATGTCATGATTGGTGTCAAAATTGACATTTTTTACTACAAAATATTGTGTTAAAATGTTCATTATAACGATAAGTTGTATTGTAAAGCTTATTACAATGATAATCATTCACAACAATCAAATTCTTTTGTGAAAAGTTTGTGAATTTCGATTTTTTTTATGAAAATGTCATAATTGATAGCAAAATTGATATTTTTTAACAAAAAAGTTGTGTTGTAAAGGTCATTGTAATGATAATCATTCACAACAATCTAATTTTTTTGTGAAGATTTTGTGAATTTTCATTTTTCTAATTAAAAATGTCATGGTTGATACCAAAATCGATATTTTTTTCAAAAAAAGTTGTGTTGAAAAGTTCATTATAATGATAATCATTCACAATAATCATAATTTTTGTGAATATTTTGTGAATATCAATTTTTCTAAAGGAATATATCATGTTTGGTATCAAAATCGAGGTTTTTTAACAGAAAAATTGAATTGCTATTGCTCATTGTTATGATAATCATTCATAACAAGCACAATTTTTGTGAAAATTTTGTGAATTCAATTTTTTTTATAAAAATGTCTTGGTTTGTAGCAAAATTGACATTTTTTTACCAAAAAAGTTTTGTCGCAAAGCTCATTGCTGTGATAATCGTTCACAATAATTACAATTTTTGTGAAAATTTTGTGAAAATGAATCGTTTTTAAAGAAATATATCAAGTTTGGTATCAAAATCGACGTTTTTTAACAAAAAAATTGAATTGCTATAGCTCATTGTGATGATAATCAGTCATAACAAGCACAATTTTTGTGAATATTTTGTGAATTTAAATTCTTTTTAATGAAAATGTCATGGTTGGTAGCAAAATTAACATTTTTTATCAAAAAAGTTGTGTTGTAAAACTCATTGCAGTGATAATCGTTCACAATAATTACAATTTTTGTGAAAATTTTGTGAAAATGAATCCGTTTTAAAGAAATATATCAAGTTTGGTATCAAAATCGACGTTTTTTAAAAGAAAAAATGTATTGTTGCAGTTCATGGTTGTGATAATAATTCATAATAATACAATTTTTGTGAAAATTTTGTGAATATCAATTTTTCTAAAGGAATATATCATGTTTGGTATCAAAATCGAGGTTTTTTCACAGATAAATTGAATTGCTATTACTTATTGTTATGGTAATCATTCATAACAAGCACAATTTTTGTGAAAATTTTGTGATTTTATGTTTTTTTTAATAAAAATGTCATGGTTGGTAGCAAAATTGACATTTTTTACCAAAAAAGTTTTGTCGCAAAGCTCATTTCTGTGATAATCGTTCACAATAATTACAATTTTTGTGAAAATTTTGTGAAAATGAATCGTTTTTAAAGAAATATATCAGTTTGGTATCAAAATCGACGTTTTTTAACAAAAAAATTGAATTGCTATAGCTCATTGTGATGATAATCAGTCATAACAAGCACAATTTTTGTGAATATTTTGTGAATATCAATTTTTTTAAAGGAATACATCATGTTTGGTATCAAAATAGAGGTTTTTTCACAGAATTACTATTGCTCATTGTTATATCATATCAAATATTCTAAGATAACCTAAAAAAATAATTCACTTTTTTTTTAAAGTTTATTGGTTGGCATTAACTTGACAAGTATGATGACAAAGTTATGTTGTTATAAAAAATGACATTTATAAACTATCGAAACTATTATTGCTATTATTTTTACTGATTGTAACTGGTTTATATTTTTCTTGGGAAACTTGTAAAATTTGTTCTTTTGAGGCCGGAAACCACTCCATTAAATACTCCCAAGTTCCTTTTTTCAAAGCTAAAACAATCGTGGTGGACGACGCTTTATAAGTGTATAAATGTGGTAATCCGAATAAAACTTGGCTCTCCCCAAAAGTATCGCGCGTCTTTAAAACTTGATGCTCAACGTGTAACTTATTAAAAATATCATAAACAATCACTTCTCCTTCTTCGATGAAATACAACGAATCGTCAACATCGCCTTTTTCAACGATATACATCCCAGGGAGATAAACGGAAAACTTTAAATGAACCATTAATTGCCGAATAAAATCTTTATGGGTTTTATCAAAAAGTTGATGCTCCAAAAGATGCCTCGAATACAAACTGTGCATAACATCCTCTTTTAAATAAGACGGAGCTATCTCAATTAACAAGGGAAGCCACTGCCCGTGTGCTTTAGTCCATTGTTCAACGTAATACCTCCACACCTTACGCTTTAAAGAATACGACATATTCATTTTTGAGAGGTACTTTAGTACTTTTCTTGAGCCGTTTTCGAACATGGTCATTTCATATTTATCCAAAACCAGAATGCTGGCGCATCCCGCTGTAATTACCACCGTCACTAACTGGGAAAATCCGGTCATTATAATTGAAGCGATTAATTCGAATTCATTTGTTGGGACAACCATTCTTAACCCGGTTGAGGTAAAGACGTTTATAACGTACATGTAACTTAAACGAAATGCTGTAATCGTGTTGTTTGTTGGGATTAATTTGATGGGTTCATGGTTCACTTTGGGGTAATAATAACAGATTTCGTTTGGACATGATACTTTCCACCTAGAAATTAAAAAAGAAATTGTTATCGTTAATTAATATGGCTTAGATAGAGTTTTAATGTTGATTTAATGAGATAAATTTATTTCAAGAAGAATCAAAATTGAGGTTTTTCACCAAAAAAGTTGTAATAAAAAGCTCATTTCAATGATAATCAATTTTTTTAAAACAAATTCATCACATTTCGTTGTGATAATCATTCACAACAATTCATTTTTTTGTGAAAATTTTGTGAATTTCAATTTTTTGAGATAAAAATGTTATGGTTTGTATCAAAATTAATATTTATTAACAAGAAAGTTGTGTTGCAAAACTCTTTATAGTGATAATCATTCACAATAATCACAATTTTTGTGAAAATTTTGTGAGAATCAGTATTTTCTAAAGAAATATATCATCTTTGGAATCAAAATCGATGTTTTTAAAGACAAATTGTATTGTTATAGTTCATTATTGTGATAATCATTCACAATAATTCAATTTTTTTGTGAAAATTTTGTGAATTTCAATTTATTGAGATAAAAATGTCATGGTTTGTATCAAAATTGATATGTTTAACAAAAAAATTGTATTGTAAAGGTCATTGTAATGGTAATTATTCAAAATAATCACAACTTTTGTGAAAATTTTGTGACAATCAACTTTTTCTAAAGAAATATATCATGTTTCGTATCAAAATCGATGTTTTTAAAGAGAACTTGTATTATATAGTTCATTGTTGTGATAATCATTCACAATAATTCAATTTTTTTGTGAAAATTTTGTGAATATCAATTTTTCGAGATAAAAATGTCATAGTTTGTATCAAAATTGATATTTATTAACAAGAA